CAGTGTAAGTAAGTTTTTTATATTTAAAGAATTTGCCACTGATGATTCAAACGCGAGTTTTGGGCAGTGTAGAGTAGCACTTGTTGTTTGTCATTTCTCCGATCACAAATGCAGACATGGTTTTATAAGTCATTATAATCAGTAATTATGTCCCCACTGGATGCAACAAATGCCTCGTTTATAATGACCTTTTCATGTTTTTGAATTGTCGCTCCGGCTGGACAGGGCATCACAATATGGTGAGGGGCGTAACATTTCCGTCACACGCTTGAGGTATTCGGCCAATCACAACGCACTGGATAGCTGGCCAATCAGAGCACACCTCGCTTTTCAGACCGATGAGCTTTGTAAAAATCTACGCATTTCAGAAAGGCGGGGCATAGAGGAGAAACAATAATGTACAGTATGGGGAAAATAATGTGTTTTTTGAACCTTAAACCGCATAAACACATTTCATTACACTAAATACACAAAATAATGTTATTTTTAGCAACATCATATGACCCCTTTAAATACTTCTCTATCTCTGGAGCTGTGGTGTGCCTACTTTGATGTTTTCGTTCTTATTTTTGTATGGTGCAGCACCCACATTGAGCTTTTTTGGCCTAATTGATGTGCACCTAATTGGACTGTTTTTTGTGTAATTAAACAAGAAACAAACGGAGTGCCTAATAAAAACCTCTTTTGTGTGGAACTACTTCCTTCCACCACGGATTCAAAGCTCAAGTTGACATTTAAACATACGTCACTTTTAGAATTCATATCAAGGGCATGTGCTGGTTCAGTTAAGTTATTAGTGAGAAACAATGCGGATCATTACTCCAGTCTTCAGTGTCACATGATCCTTCAGAAATCATTCTAATATGCTGATTTGCTGCTCAAGTTCAAACATTTCTTCTTATATATATATATACTGTATATATATATATATTTTTTTTTTAATCAGGATGAATGGAAAATTCTGAAGAACTGTCTTTTTTATCAATTTAATGCATCCTTGCTTAATAAAAAAAGAAAAACGAAAACTTGACCCCAAACTTGTTAAAAACAAAAATGCATAAAAACTGATGGAAACAATCTTAGATGCATATCTCATGATTGCATAATCATGTACAAATAAAATAACAAATAATGTAAATGAGGAAATAGAAAAATAAGAATAAAAAGAAACCATAAGTATATGATTAAATATTGAAAAATTAAATGTGCAAATTTGAATCATCATAGTAGCAGCAGTACAGCTGTTTGAGGACACCAGGAGGCGATGAAGTTAATCTGGTCTGTTTGTTTGTCTTCAACAGGCTGTTGATTGTTACACACAAGCCTTATCAGAAGTAGACAGATCAAGAGATGCATGTGCCGCTCTGAGCTGCCTGCAGGTCAGTTCGCCTCTTTGATTGGATCACACTGAAGACTAAACTGAAGATTAAATCATATCTGTGATTGTTTACCAGACTTTTCATTAAGCCTCTCTGTCTGTCGGGGGTTATTTTCAGGCTGTGGAGAGCATTGATGCTGTGGTGTTACTGTGTGAGTCAGCAGATGAAGATCTCTGCCAGATTGCCATAGAAACCCTCCTCACTTTCGGTAAAACATCCAGTCACACGAATGCCACATCCTCTGCACTATTAGTCAGTTCAGTCAGTTTATGCTCTGTCTGCAAATTAGTGTAAATCTGACTGAGACCCCATTCTAGACAGCATTTTATTAGACAAACATGTGTATTTTTGGTATGTTTTCCCAGAAGAGAAAGACTATGATTAACTTTTAGAAGTATGCTTGCACCAGGGTCCCTACGGTTCCTTAACAAGTCTCAAAGGGATAGTTTTCCCAAAAATGAAAATGACCTCATGATTTACTGACCTTTAAGCCGTTCTAGGTGTATATGACTTTCTTCTTTCAGACGAATACAATTGGAGTTATATTAAAAAAATGTGCTGGCTCTTCCAGGCTTATAATGGCAGTAAATGGGGTTTAAGTTTTTCAAGTCCAATAAAGTGCATACATCCATCATTAAAAGTACTCCGCTTGGCTCTGGGGAGGTGAATAAAGGCTTACTGAAGTGAATCAATGTGTTTTTGTAAGAAAATCTACATATTTAAAACTTTATCTCTAGTTTCCACTCACACGTTCATAAGAGAGTGGCGTTCCAGCGGATGACGGAGGACGTAGACGTAGCGTAAGATCCGGTGAGAATATGCTAGTCTTGTGAGAACCAAGTTTTGGTTACAGCAAAGGAAAACCAGTCTCTTCTTGGCTTATATCGAAATCCCCTGACATTTTTCTTTACAAATCCGGTAACACTTTATTTTAAGGTGTCTTTGTTACACGTTGCATGTACTTACTATTATAATAACAATAATTTATACATAATTACATGCAAGTAACCCTAAGCCAAACCCTAACCCTAACCATATAGTAAGTACATGTAGTTAATTAATATTACTCAGTACTTAAATGTATTTGTATGTATAATTACACTGTAACAAGGACACCTTAAAATAAAGTGTAACCACAAATCCATGTTTTGTACTTCTAATTAGTGACCAGTGTTTTGTTTTGTTCTCTCCTCTGCACTTCCACGTTCATCTCTTTGCACTCCTTTCACTGCCATTATAAAGCGTGGAAGAGCCAGGACATTTTTTAATAGAATTCCAATTGTATTTGTCTGAAAGAAGAAAGTCATATACTCCTAGGATGGCTTGAGGGTGTGTAAATCATGGGGTAATTTTCAATGTAATGCGAACTTGCTGAATAATTTCGTAAAGAATTCTTACTGACCCCAAACTTAACTAACTAAAGTAAAAGACAATTCAATTTCAATATCAATTTTATTTGTGCAGGTCTTAAACATGTACATGTATATCATACATGGTCTCAATGCTTGTAAACATCACCTGAAAGCCTTCCTGTTTCTTACAGAGCATGTTTGTGTGTTTCTGTTCTCAGGTGAAGACGGGCGGCTGGCATACGAGCAGTTGGACACAGTGCCGAGGGAAATGGTGCGGCTGGGGACTCGCCGCGGTAACGCTGTTACCACTTCATTTTAGAAAAACGACTCGTTATCCCTCCTGTGACCCTGCACACTTCAGACGTGAAATACACACCACCTGCTAACAAGGGGAAAGTGAAGCTTGGTCTTCGATTTAGGCCCATATCTTGAGACCTTCATCACAGACTCTCCTTTTCTGCAGGATGTTTGCTTCTCGTGTCACAGTGTTGCTGATTGAACAATAAGAGTGTTATTATTGGAAGTTAGTTATTTGCAGATTGCAGTTGCACTGTTGGAGGCGTGTAAATAGAAAGCAAATCCTATTTTAATGTTGTCCTGGGATTTTTTGTTTTCCTCTGTACGTGCCGTTCTGTTTCAGGGATTATAAGGGACTGTTTTAATGCTCCCTGCTTGAGTTTTTTTGATCTGGACAGACTGGGAAAGGAAAGATTTTGTGCGCTGTTTGGACCCAGCCGGTTGTATGGACTACTGAAAAAACCGGTGTGGATGGTGCACTGCTGATTTACTGCGCTTGCTTGCCTTCACTGGTCAGAAGAAAATATTTCTATGGACGAAGCCTGTAGTGAACACTTGCATTAACTTGGTATAATGCCTGAGCGCATGGGATCTTACAACAAGCGCTGTTTGGAGCCCGTCAGAGTATCTGAAAAAGCACTTTTACACTATATTCAGTCAGAGAAGCGTCATGTATTACTGTGAGTTTTTGGTTTGTACGTAAATGAAGACTGAAAGTATATTTTGCTCTGTGATCCAAACTCGCTTCTGTGCCTATTGTTACTGTACTACTGTGTCATGTGACTGTAATATCATTTGTTTTATTTATTTTTTAACAGATTGTTTTAACGATGTACTAAACATCAGTTCACAATATGATTAGGTACAGTCAGGATTTGGTATTATTGAGGGGCTATTCACTATGACTTTTGTTTTAATATATACAGTATATATAGTTGGCATTTTACATATAGAAAGATGTTTTATTGATCAGTATCATCTTTTAACAGTGTATTCATGGAGTTATACAGTATTTGTGCTCAAGGGAACCTTTCCTAAATGTCTTTTCGGTATGCTAATACACCCGACCTGAGAAAACGCTCTTTGGTAACCGAACGCTTGCCTCACTTTGACACGTTTACACACCCTGTGTCGATCTTTAAAGCTCTCAAATGTGAATTTACGCTTATGGCGGCAATTAAAACGCAGTTTTGTAGATCACCCGACCTATTTTTGCAATATTTTCTATGACATTGAGAATTGTACGGAAGCAGGGGCTTAAATCTATCAAAGGAGCACATTTCGAGGAATGTACCGAGTACAGAAAGGTTACTGAAGTATATGCCTCACAAGCACAACTGTGTGGTGGTTGTTTTGGTGTTACTGTTAACATGTTATTTGGCATTTACCGCACAAACTCCTAAAGCCATAATGATACAGAACTCGATATATTTAAGGCCGTTTTGTGGTTTCTATTTATCAGAATTATCTATAACAGATATTCAAAAATAATACTTTTGTTTATGCTGTTTTTCTGTATTCAGTCACAGAAGTGAATGACTGTTTTCTTTCTTTGTGAGTTTGTCTAATGACCACCGTTACAGTATTTGTCCCTGGGCATTGGTGATCACTCCTTGAGAATTTCTTTCTTTGCACAGAGATATCAAGTAAGAAGGTTGAATTAACATGTTTTGCCTTGTATTCATCTCAGACTGAAGCTCAGTGAAATTCAAATGCATTTATTGTTCAAACCTCATTCAAATGTAAATTAATGTCCTTCTTGATAGGAAAGCTGTTGTTGTTATGGTTTTGTGAGCGCGTGACTGTGTGTGTCCAGGGCTTGAGCGCACAGCTTGCAATAGCTTTAGCTACTACTGTTTGAATGAAAGCAGATCTCACTTGATGTCACAATGCTAATGTTCCCTTTCTTTTCATTTTTGAGTTTACTGTATTTCCTCTGCTGAAAGTGGCAATAAATTTTATTTTTACATAATTATCAGATATGGCATTGTGCTGTTTTTAATGCCTGTAGTGCATGGTAAATTTTAAACAATTTTTACTATATGTACAATATGATCAAGAACTGCACAGACATTAGAACAGCTGTTGTTCATTACTGTAGAACAAAATAACACAAGTTCAGCAGTTTCGTGATCCAGTCCATGGCAAAGCATGCTGGGAACTAGAAATTCACAGTCCAGTTTCAGGTAATAATGGCAACAAAAATGATTAATGTTGTCCGTAACGAAATTACATAATGACAAAATGTTAACAGTAATTGTGCTGCTTTAGTTCATTTTCATTAAATGAACCGAGCATTAACATTTAACATTTTTCTGAAGCAAATGGACATTAAAAAAGGTGTTTCTGTAAGTGTAAAAGGCATTTTATGAAAACGTACTAACTGGATGTCACGATAACATTCTGTTTTGAAAAAAGCTTTTTGAAGTGTTTCAAGACCGGCAGCCGCATGATTCGGTTCCTCTCCTCATTGTACGATAATTACATCAAGCCTTATTTTGCCTCTGGTCTGGAAGAAGCAGACAGAAGCCACAAGAATAAGATCCTCAAGGCTGGTCGACTGATCCGGAACACGCTGCTGCCCGCAGCAGTGAGAGCAGACGCAGCTCGGGACATCGGGATATTAAGTTACACAGGTGATGAAAAAACATGTCTATATTACAGGCGGACGCCTTTTTTTTTTATCGTGTTCAAGACCGGCAGCCGCATGATTCGGTTCCTCTCCTCATTGTACGTTAATTACATCAAGCCTTATTTTGCCTCTGGTCTGGAAGAAGCAGACAGAAGCCACAAGAATAAGATCCTCAAGGCTGGTCGACTGATCCGGAACACGCTGCTGCCCGCAGCAGTGAGAGCAGACGCAGCTCGGGACATCGGGATATTAAGTTACACAGGTGATAAAAAACATGTCTATATTACAGGCGGACGCCTTTTTTTTTTAAGTGATATTTTGAAATATGAAACCAAAATCGCCAGCAGGTGGTCTTAATGAGGGGGCAGTGAATCATTGGCAAACAATGCGTTCAAAACAAAGCAAGTGATTAGCTGCGTATCGAGTAACGTTACCGTCTAGCGGTAGCTACCAACGGCTGTGGTATGTAACGTTACATTTGGGACCCTGGACCACAAAACCAGCACGGGTATATATATACACACACACACACACACAGTATGGGTCAAAATGATCGATTTTTCTTTTATACCAAAAATCATTAGGATATTAAGTAAAGATCATGTTCCAAGAAGAGGTTAAAAACAAAGCAAGTGATTAGCTGCGTATCGAGTAACGTTACCGTCTAGCGGTAGCTACCAACGGCTGTGGTATGTAACGTTACATTTGGGACCCTGGACCACAAAACCAGCACGGGTATATATATACACACACACACACACACAGTATGGGTCAAAATGATCGATTTTTCTTTTATACCAAAAATCATTAGGATATTAAAGATCATGTTCCAAGAAGAGGTTTAAGAATTTTTAGATTTGTAACGTTACTTGAAATAAGGCAAAAAAAGCATTTTTGCAGCATTAATGAATGGAGGCATTTAAACAATTGTTTACACTTTAAAAAGGGGGAGGAGACCCAAAGAAACTGGTTTTACCAAAGAAAACCTGCTCCCAGCAGGTTAGGTTCAGATTTAGTTTGGTCTTTTGTTGGAACCAAAGACCCTGCTTTCCCTTTTCTGGGGTTAACAAACTCAGAGTTAACAAAACCACTTTCTGGAGTACACCCCTGGTCTACTGACGCCTGCCTTGAACATTACAATGCTCATGATTACTTTCATAAACAAGATGCAAAACCACATCGCCAGCTCATTACGCTATTAGATTTAGTAATGAAACACATCTATGCTCCCAAGCACAACAGTTCTGCTATGGCCTTGTTTGGAAGCATTATCTTTGATGGAAGAGCAAAAACAGTCCATGTGTCAAGTGAAACACAGCAAGGGCTTCTACTGTTACAGACCCTACTAATTATTTAAACTCTTTTAGGAGGTTATGAACATGCAGCAGACAAGTACATGGCAAGCATGGTGGAGCTCCTGAAAACACCTGACCTTACAGATCAGCACATCATTCGACTTCTTGAAGGCCTCAGTGCAATCTGCTACCTCCATGTCGCCAACCAAGACAAGGCACAAGCACTTGGGCTCCCTGACACCCTGCTGGAGTTTGTGTCGCCCACCAGCAAACTCTCCTTTACATCACAGCACTGGAGCTGCTACCTGCTCAACATCCTCGGTTGCCACAACATCCCGATCATCTGCCACCTCAAGGGCTCGGAGGCCCTGCAGTCCAGTCTGGAGAAACTGGCAAGTCTGGACTGGGAGAAATGGCCATTAAACCATGCTCAGGAGCTTCTCAAGGTTTTAGGATTCCAGCGGAACTCAATGAAAGATGCGTTGCATGAGGAAGATGAACTGAAGGGCTGCACTTACACTGAAAGTGGTCACATGTTAGGTAAGCCATTTAAAAAAAAAAAAAAAAAAGCATGTGTACAAAATATGAGTTTATTTCCATTGTATGCATTCAATTTTACATTTGTACACTGGCAGTGAACATGCACATTAACTACAGGTACTGAAAATGAAAGCTCATTTACAGCAAGGGTAAAAGTATTAAAACAAAAGGTGCACGTGTTCTCAAAGGCGAAGAAACTTGGGGGGTGGGGTAGGGAAAAGCCATAATGGTTCTTTTCAGTTGACAATTTCAGCTTCTGTTGTGGTTTTATCCTTGTGGCACATTATGGTCATGTGACTGTTCTGTGCTCAGTTCAACATGGTCCTGGCTCTCATCAGCATGTTGTTCCTCCGGAGCTCATTTACAGCAAGGGTAAAAGTATTAAAACAAAAGGTGCACGTGTTCTCAAAGGCAAAGAAACTTGGGGGGTGGGGTAGGGAAAAGCCATAATGGTTCTTTTCAGTTGACAATTTCAGCTTCTGTTGTGGTTTTATCCTTGTGGCACATTATGGTCATGTGACTGTTCTGTGCTCAGTTCAACATGGTCCTGGCTCTCATCAGCATATTCTTCCTGTTGTTCTTCCTCCTCGTCTTCAGAATCAAAGGCTATTTCACGCAGCTCCTCTAGACTGTCTGGACTCTTGCCGGTTAATCTCTGAGAAATAAAACAGACATTAGTTAGAGACAGAACTCGGGACATTGAGGTGGGTAACTTCAATCTGTAGTCACTCTAATGGTAGTCACACACCATCACCACGGTCCACAAATACGGTTTACCGGTCAAAGCAAGAATAATCATCTTGACGGACCATAGCAGTATTGTTGGCTGTGTAAACTACAAAAACCGGGACACTATTGCGCAATGGCATTTCCATTAATGGATGTTATGCGACTAAGCTTTTTTTTTTTTCTCCTTTCGCAAGTCATGGCGATGGATGTTGGTAGGTTTACATAAACTGCAGCCACTGCACTAGCCTTTATTTTAAAATTGAAGGAGACACGCATGCGTGTATGTTTGCCGCAACTGGTATAGACGCAAGCATAGAGCGGCCGTGATCAGTTCCAGCGGGTGTGTTGGAACCGCAATGCGCCATAGACATGTGCAGTGTAAATAAGAGGTTATCCAAGCACTAATGGCAAGGAAAGCCCCTTATACTTGAGCGGCAATGCATGCGGTATTTCTTGGAGGTTATAGTACATTAGAGAATAATCATGTGACTTGCATACACCAGGTGACCTGTAATGAAAACAAATGGTTTCCATTGCAGTTTGAGACTGCATTTTTTTCCCCCCGAACTGCCCGAAAACCCACCTCATACAGGTGTATAAAGTTCTTGCAGTTTATGGGAGGAGCTTACGAAACTGACAGGTTTCCATTGGGCGCATTTACAATTTCAGGTTGCACAGTTGGAAGGGAAAAATGGAAACCCTGCTATTGTCGGTGGACAACTTAAACGCGAGGGGGAAAAAAATACCTACACTTTCAGTACATAAGCGTACCCAGTGATTCGGTATGGAGCTGAAGATAATGATTGTTCAGTAGTACTACGGTGTAGATTAGCAGTCGGTTTTCTTTAGGCATCTTAAAGCATTTGGACCCAGAAACATCGATGTCAGGCTTCAAGTGGATTAAAAGCTATACTGTACACAAAGCACTTACTTCTATCATATCAGCCATGTGTTGTACATGCTGTGCCAGCTCCTGCAACTCCTCATTTTCACTCTTCAGCTGAGCAATCAGTTCATCTTTGGCATCAATGTCTTTGTGCAACTAATTTTGAAATGACGTAAAGAAACAAGTGAACAAAAGGCACCACACTCCTAATCAAACGATTAAAGAACAGCGTTTACGACATTAAGAATCAATTATAGAAATAAGCCTTTTAGAAGCAGAAAAAACAAAAATGAAAGACAACCTTTACTATAGAACAACTTACTCATCAGCCCTATAGAGAGAAGTAGAGCAGAATGGCTAATGATTAGCCAATTACCCATTGATTAACCTACCTTTTCATTCTCTTGGAGAACACTGAACAGGGCTTTTCGCCTCTCTTCTGCTACCTCCTTCCAGTAGGAGGACCCAGGAGTTTCTGAAGGAGGGGGGGGGGTACCACACACACATTAACTATGACCGTATTAACAGGTACAGCTTTTGCATTAACGTAAAACCAATCAACTTCTCCAAACTGGACAGGGCAGCATTTACCTTTGATCATGAGCTCATAGGCCTCTTGATTGACCCCCTCAGGCTGGTTTTCATCCTCTGGACTTGTGGATCTTACAGCCACCTCTGCTTTGACCCGCTTTGAGCCCTTCGCCTGCTCAGCACTCCACATCTTTCTCTTTGGAACCGCTTTGCCATTCTAAACAGGGTGAGACCGTCTTTAACACAATCCATCCAACTAAAGAGTTGACACTTTGTAACATCTAAAATGGCAACCACTGTCACGTACCTCAATGATACGCCCAAGGCTCTTATTGACAGCAGATGGCTGAAGGACCTGCAGCGTCCTCCTCCCTGATCCAGATGTTGGTACTACAAGGAACTTCTGAGAAAAGAAAGGCAATCTCAGGGTCCTCAAGTATCATAAGTGTCAAATATTGAGAATAGAGGCTCATTTCAGCGAGAACGAAAGTTAAGCAACCATCCAAACACACCGTAACAGGCTCCATTCACCTGCCTCAACAGTCATTCTTCTCCTCTTACACCCGGTTAAGCTGTCAGTACGAGATGGCAACACGCAAAGTATCTGAGCAACTCAGCATATCAACAGTTCTAACAAGTGTGGGAAAGGGGCAGGCCACACATCAGCTGCACGCTGGAAACACCTCCAATTCCCACGGACAGCGATTGGGCCGCTTGCATTATCTTACTGCAACATTCTTTAACCTGTAATTACTGTGAGAACTCGCCACAGAAGTCTCCTTGTGACCAACTACAAGTTTGGAGTTGGTTAATGTTTTCGCTTAAAACGGTGACAAGTTTGCACAGTTATGGACAATGATTAATTTAAAAACAGAACAAGGTCTGAGTTGAGTTTGTCCTAAATGGGAAATTTGATCAAGTTAAAGACATTCATGTCATTCTTTCCTTTTTGAAAATACTCCAGCAGACAATTGAAGTAATCCAAATTTATGAATAATATCTAGGGATCATTACATGGCCGCTATAAAACCACTAATGACTAGCTTTAAAATGGGACATTCATCAGTTTATGGGAGTGTTGCCAGATTCTTTCAAAACCCCATTAATTTAATCACCCAACAGGACACTGGTTCAGCAATCAGTTTTGAGTAGTAATTGCATCTACGAAGCCTAGGGCAAGACGTTCTCACATACCTTGATGTTTTCAGAGGGATTCTCTGCATGCTTGGGTCTTCTGATGGAGCTCATGTTCTCACCTATTAAAATAAAAATAAAAAAAAATTCAGTAACTTCAGTGAGTTTCATTAATTGAACGGTCACATTGTGTTCCATTCACTTTGAAATAATTCATTCCCCTACACTTAGTCTTCCAGTCCACAAATAATTGCTTTTAAGATTCTCTTGATGAGAGATCACCAAATTTTAGATTCAGCACAGGTTTTACAGCCCTCTTCTTGGAAACATAAAATTATGCTAATGGTTCTCAACACAGCAAAAGTTAAGACACGTAAATGTTAGTTGACATACCCATCAGCCTAAACCGAGACAAACTAATAGATTGCCAAGACATTTTAACATTAAGTTACAGCACGGTACACAGCAGCTGGCACTTCATACAGTAGATTACAAATGAAACAACGTTGTAACACTAATTGACATCCAAAATGTTTTAAAACAATAAACAGAACTGTGGATTAATTCTCATAACGCGGTCGCCACCTATATAACGTTCAAAGACATAAATGTTATACTTGTATAACTATAAGTCACATACATAGATAAAAAGCGGTGTCCGTTAGGCCTCTGTTTGTGTCCAGACCACGAAGACCATCGAGCCACACTCGTACAGACTCTACATTTAAAAACACATGGCCAGTCCTTAAAACTCAACAAAAGCCAACATAAACCTAGCAAGTCAAAGACGATACTTACGAAAATTGCACGATAAACACAGACTGCTCTTAACACCCCGCTAAAGCACAACAGCTTGGGTGAGAAGAGCGCGCCAATGGCTTAAGTACTGCCTTTGTACCGTCACGTGACTCTGGATTTCGCGCGGATTGAGAGGCTGACATAAACAAACAGCCAAGGGATTTTTAATTTCACTATAAGAATATTATAATTTCTATCCACTTCACAAAATATTGTCCGTGTTTAAGGTGAGGACTACGCACAATTAAATTATGCGTACATTATGTATATTTAGTATTATGCGTTATATAATGTTAACTATTTAATATAGTATAGTCGACAATGAAATGTTATTGAATTGATTGAGAAGTTGATTATGTCCGTATCTACACTCAACTTGTCTATCCTCCAAGTTTTGACAGTTTAAGTACCTTTTAATAATTTAATCCACGTTACAACCGACCCCACCTACTGTTTTTACTCGGGGAAAAACGGATTTGTAACAGACAAAAATGGGAGTTTTCCACAATAATTATATTTTTCACAGCATTTCTGAATAAATACATCAAAAAGTCTTTGTGTTATAAATAAGGGAGCAGCATTATATAAAAGTTTGAGACATGTTGTGAAGAAAAGGGAAAACGCTAGTCACAGACGTTAAAACAAACCCTACGGCCGTGGTCACAGCACTGGCCTTCATAAACCCAGCTGACAGCAGCACGCGCTCCTCCTCGGTCACGTGTGCACAGCTGCGTGACGCGCAGCGGCCATTTTGAGTGGTTTGTTCAGCGAGGAGCGCTTGTTATTTTCCAGACGAACGCAGATCAAAGGGCCGAGCCAGTCGAAAGAAGCGCTCGAAAGACATTTCACCCTTTCCTTCCATCATTATGGGTCCACCGCGCTGCAGATGCCGCCGTCTGTTACCTGAGAGAACGGAGGACTTCGGTCGGTTTGTCAGTTTATCTTGACATGGCTTATACGGGTGTGTGACGACTGTGGAAAAGCTCGAAAACAAACGGGAGACCATCAAACTAAACCTCCGCCGAGGATCGATCCATCCGGGGCGGGTTTTTGCACTGAGCTCGGTGTATTAAGACGTGTTAGGATTGTTTTGCAGTACTTGCTCGGAGCGCAACGGGCTTGGAAGTCAACACGAGAAAAAAATGGCGAGAAACAATAGTTAACGTTAGGTAGCCAGCCACGCATCGAAGCCAGTCTCTGCTAGCATCGCGATAACAAACAGAAAACAGGCAAAAAACAAAATGTAACAGTCGGTTTATTGATGAATACTAGCTTTGAATGCTCTCGTAGATCTCATACTGGATAAAAAAAAGAGATGTAGCTCCCTTTAACCAGGTTATCAGTCGGTGGCGTGCGTGTGTATTCAGCTTAGCTAGCATTAGTTTGCTAGCCAGCCACAAAATAAAAGCCTCACAATGAAACTCAACCGTGGCAGGAGAGCTCGTGGGCCCATTTTATGCCCTTATTTTTTGTGTCTCACTGATGTTTCTAAATCTGTACAGGATGTGATAGGTTGTACCCAGGAGATGGACTTTATCCTTTGGCCCCGCAATGATATTGAGAAGATTGTCTGTCTCCTGTTCTCTAGATGGAAAGGGGCTGAACATGAACCATTCAGGCCTGTTCAGGTATGTATATGTAATTTCTGCCAAAAAAAATTGTGGTGCTTGCTTATTATTCCTCGTATTTGAGGTTATGGGCTCATTCAAACCCATAACACCACATATTCAACATGCACAATAGGCATGAATGATGCATAGAAATCCATTCACAAATGTAATAGTTACATTTGCTTTTGAACATTTACAGGCCAAGTTCGAGTTTCATCATGGAGACTATGAAAAGCAGTTTTTGCATGCTGTTGGTCGGAAGGACAAGGCTGGGATGGTTATGAACAACCCCAATCAGTCTGTCTTTCTCTTTGTGGACAGACAGCACTTACAGGTTGGTTCAATAAAAGATGAAATATGTAGGTCCATGGATAATATTTAAGAATGTCATGAAGATTATCAACTTTTTTGTGTTAAAGGGGTTATATGATGTGATTTTAAATTTTTCCTTTCTCTTTGGAGTGTTACAAGCTCTTGGTGCATAAAGGAGATCTGTAAAGTTGCAAAGACTAAAGTCTCAAATCCAAAGAGATATTCTTTATAAACGTTAAGAGTCAACCACGCCTACCTAAAACGGCTCGTTCTAACACGCCCCCACATATCTACGGCACGATGTGGGAAGATTTGCATAACGCCGCCCAAATGTTCACGCAAAGAAAGAAGGCGTAACTTTTATTCTGGCTGTAGTATTGTTGCTGCCGCCATGTCGTGAAGGCACTGTGTTTCGTTGTGAAAGCGAAACTACTTTTGGAGCTTTTCCACTGCGTGGTTCGGCACGGCACGGTTTGCATTTCCACTGCAGTTCAGTACTGCTTTAGAGTGGGCGGGATTATTCACATGTCCTTATAGTTGTACCGCCTCTACTACCACGACTCCTAAAAAAAACTTTTTCATTCCGCATCACCCCATCAAGCTCTCGCTGGATCCGCTCCTCTGCTATCAACGAGAGGAACGTCTGTTCTTCCGCAACAGACAACACAACTTTTTGGTTGTTATAAAAAGGTGCGCTCGTTCAAAACAGTTGCGTTCGATCCTTCGCTAGCTGTGCTGATTTAAATCTAGCGTTTCTTTTGTGTTTGTGTCGCAAGTTCAGTGACACAGGTAGTGACGATTCTCTCCGGACAATCCGTGATCAGCAGAGTTTACACGTCACATTTTGGTAACGGTACGGTTCACTTGGAACCTCAACCGAGGTGGTACTAAAAAAAAGTACCAGGTATTGTACCCAGTGGAAAACCCCCCAAAAATGAACCGTACCTCGCCGTACCATGCAGTGGAAAAGCGGCATAAGTTTGGCCTTCCAAAAGAGGACGATATCCGCTTCGTTATGCCTGGAGCTGATCCGTGCTGGTCGCTGAGGAAATACATCAACTTCGCGCTGTGGATCACCGAATTGGCTTTCACCGTGGACCAGGGGTCGTCACATGTGGTTGCCGCAAGCCGGCCGTGCAGTTCTCAAGCCCACCCACCGCCGCTCACTCAAGGCTGCGGTGTGTGACGCTGTTTTGTTGTGAAAGCGAAACTACTTTGTTTGGCCTTCCAAAAGAGGACACAACTAGAAATCAGTGGTTAAGTTATATTTACAACACTGTTCCAGAGCACTTCAACCATTTGTTGATGCATCATACATCATACATAATACATAATTATGGATTATAAAGACTTATACGGTCTTTTTACGCGTTGCGTATCGCGCCCCGTAAACATAAAACCATGTCTGCATTTGTGATCGTAGAAACAACAAACAAGCGCTACACTGCTCAAAACTCGCGTTTAAATCTTTAGTGGCAAATTCTTTAAATATAAAAAAACGTACAGGCGTAACTTTTATTCTCGCTGTAGTATTGTTGCTGCCACTGCCACCATGTCGTGAAGACACTGGGTGTTTCGTTGTGAAAGCGAAACTACTTTGTTTGGCCTTCCAAAAGAGGACACAACTAGAAATCAGTGGTTAAGTTATATTTACAACACTGTTCCAGATCACTTCAACCATTTGTTGATGCATCATACATAATACATAATTATGGATTATAAAGACTTATACGGTCTTTTTACGCGTTGCGTATCGCGCCCCGTAAACATAAAACCATGTCTGCATTTGTGATCGTAGAAACAACAAACAAGCGCTACACTGCTCAAAACTCGCGTTTAAATCTTTAGTGGCAAATTCTTTAAATATAAAAAACGTACTTACAGGCTGTGAGTCAGAAGCTCCAGACTGTCCTTGCAAATTTGGAACTGCCCCACGTTATAGAAACAGCCTTTGTGCACAGCATTGTAGTCTACTCTCACAGGAAACAGTCCTCCATAAAATGTGCTGCACACATCTGAATATTTGGGTTGAACTGTTCTGGAACAGTGTTGTAAATACAACTTAACCACTTATTTCTAGTCGTGTCCTCTTTTGGAAGACCAAACAAAGTAGTTTCACTTTCACAACGAAACGCACAGCGTCTTCACAACATGGTGGTGGCAGCAACAATACTACAGCGAGAATCAAAGTCACGCCGCCTTTCTTTGCATATACATTTGGGCGGCGTTATGCAAATCTTCCCACACAGTGAGTAGTCTACTCTCACAGGAAACAGTCCTCCATAAAATGTGCTGCACACATCTGAATATTTGGGTTGAACTGTTCTGGAACAGTGTTGTAAATACAACTTAACCACTTATTTCTAGTCGTGTCCTCTTTTGGAAGACCAAACAAAGTAGTTTCACTTTCACAACGAAACACACAGCGTCTTCACAACATGGTGGTGGCAGCAACAATACTACAGTGAGAATCAAAGTCACGCCGCCTTTCTTTGCGTATACATTTGGGCGGCGTTATGCAAATCTTCCCACACAGTGACGTAGACACGTTTTAGGAGGGTGTTGACTAGTCTTAACTTTAAAGAATATCTCTTTAGGGTTGAGACTTCAGTCTTTGCAACTTTACAGATCTTCTTTATGCACCAAGAGCTTGTAACACATCAAAGAGAAAGGAAAACATGAAATTGCATATGACCCCTTTAATATAATTTTTTAATATAATTTTTACAGTGGCCATTTTAATTGGTTATTGACAATAACAAAAATGTTTTCAGTAGTAACCAGAATTTTTTGTTATTCCCAATTATACACTGTATAATAGCCTAATATTTACTTTATAACTAAATATATATTAACCATTTATTAATATCTGTAATTTTATTGTTTATGGACCGTAACCGAAATTTCCTTGTAATCTTAATTGGCCAGAATTTTAATATCAATTAATCAATAACTGCAAAACCTATAATAACCTAATATTTACTGTATACTATTTAATAACCTTTTTTATTTTTATATTGGTTATTTTTGCTTCTTGGAAATAACATATTGAAATTTATTGGCTTATCAGCATTGCCCAGAATATTATTGAATTCCTAATAACTATACACCTTGCAATACCAGATATTTACTGCATATAGTATTTACGAATAGTCTTAATATTCTTTTGTCGTCTCATTCTTCAACAGACTCCAAAAACCAAGCTCACCGTTTTCAAGTTGTGCAGCCTCTGTCTCTACCTGCCACAGGACCAGCTCACCTGTTGGGGGGTTGGAGACATCGAGGACCACCTCCGCCCATACATGCCTGACTAGGAGAAATGCACGGAAGACACCCCTCGAGGCCTCGAAGCAAGTTGACCTCATCTACAAATCCCTCAGTTGAATAGATATGAACTTGTGCTTGGAACTCTCCTTTTTGTTAACCACTCATTTTCATCGTGAGATTTAATTTAGCTCCTTTTTTATTTATTTTTTAATTCCTCCCTCAACCAATCTTGCTTTGGTTCATCCCATCTCCCCTCTCTTTGATCAGTTTTTATTTGAACCTGCATGAACATTGATTTTGAGTGGTTGTTCTCTTGGAGCTGCACCGTCAACAATACCAGTCACCGAAGGAACTCTTTACGTTACGAAAACAAAACAACAAAAAAAAAGGAAACCAATGACAGAGGGTCTCTCACGTGTGGTCCTCGTGTGTTGGACTGGCTTTAACATCACTGTTGTGAGGGAAAGTTAACATGTCTGTTATATTGAGTAGGGATTTCATGAGTAATGACAGTCAGTGACAGGACAAAAGAGCTTGGGTAGTCTTCCTCAAAAGGCTTCTATTACAAGGCGAACAACACTTGTTAACTCGTTTGGTGTAGGCATTGCTTCTCATTCAGTTACTGCCTTAGTTTTTGCTGGACATTTTAATTTGAGTGTCATTACTTGCCTATAATATGACAAACCTTGTTTGTTTTTATCATTTCTGGAGGAGTGGTGCCTGATGGGGACGGAGGTGCGGTGTGTGATGTATATCTAAAATGGTTGACAAACTCTGTTGGAGGAATTCTGATGTGTTTTTTTCTTGGGATAGTTGGGATGGTAATTGTCACCATTTGAGCAACTCCGAGATATACATACAAGCTACTGATACCGGATGTAATCATTGGTGGTGGGTATGTTAAAGCTTGTGTACCTAATGAGAAATTTCATTGAGAACCACCCTGTTCTGAGAGTACTAAATATTGCAGTGCTTAGGACTTGGTATCTGTAAGCCATCTTTGTCCGTTCTTCAGGCATAAAAATCCTTTAAAAATATCTTTGAAATTCTGAGTTCACGTCGAAGGGGAAGGTGGGTCTTTGTCTTTACTTTGATGTACCCATTGTTTGAATAATTCTGTTGAAATAAACACTGCTGAATATATCCTAACACAGTGCAACGATTTTTATGCTGGAGTTTATTTTGTAACAAAGAACATGTTTCACGTCTTTTACATAATCAGCTACCGAGGTGTTTAGTGTGTCTTCCCTGAGCAATGGGTTTTCCATTCGCCTTGTTGGTGAGATCTACTGTTGCAAATGCCAATGTCCGTCCTTGTTTTAAAACCTGAGCTGTGATCAGGACGTCTTCTCCGATTTTAGCTGCATTCATGTATCTGTTAAACAAAGCAAACAAATTTGAGTACATTTAAGATGATGAATGGGTGTCATTTTATTTTTTAATTGAGACCGGGCGGGACTATTTGTCACACTTATTTCTCCATTTCACTTTTATTCAACAACAACAACACAAAAAAAGCTATTGAACATTTCCGTCATTATTAACCAAGGGAAAAGGTACAGTTGAACATTGTGACAACGTGCCCCAATATGTCACAGTAGCAACCTGACATCTAACAGCCTAATACAATTACGAGTCGAGTACATATCATAAAATGGCAAAAATATGAAACCACATTCCAATAAAGGTTATAAATAAATGTATAACTAGCCATTTGCCCTGAGCAAACAGTTAAACGTTTTGTCTAAGAGCTACCTGCATTGCATAGTTGAATAGGGTCAAAGTATGCTGTTGTGGTTTTGTTTTCACTTGTTCATACAACAGGGCCCCTATTCACAAAACATTTTATCTTCCCACTAAGAGTTCTCCTAAATGGCAGTAAAAGTTTTTAACTAAGAGTTTTCTCTTAAAACCTATTCACAAAGCTGCGGACACAAACTTTTAGTAAAGAATAGACAGAAGTCTTAAGCTAAGAGTAAGGGGGCGGGGTTGACCTTGTTGCTATGGATGATGTAAGCATGCTTACTAACTATGCACACAGTGATTGGCTGATGGTCTCTGTCAGAGGTTTATTCATAGAAATATTGAAGAGTGCAATTATGTTGCCATATTCAAATAAAGGTTTAAAAATAAAATTGCTAATTGCCACATTCAAATAAAGATTTTAAAATGCAGGCCAAGTGTCAGCTAATTGTCTAAATGCATCTTATTCTTCTCGTAAACAATTAGTCAATATGCATTAGGGCTGCCCTCGACTAAAGATTTTTTCTTGTTGACTAGTAGTCATTCATTTTAAGCATTAGTCGACTATTAGTCGCACTTTTATTACTAAACCATATACATCATAATAATGCGCCTTTGCCTAATAAGGGCTCAAGCGCACGCAAAAAAGGCTATAATTATGAATGTGTTAGGGGGAAACAGCAAGTACACTGCATTAATGTTTTAATTTGTTACACTAGTGCTTTCTGTTTTGGGTTTAAGAGATGAAGTCGGCGACACTGACTCGTCGTCTCCGCAGTATGCGCCTGTATGCATGTTTCATACGGAATACATAATCTGAGAATATTTGTTTTCTATTTGAATTGGTTCATTTAAAAGTTTCACTCTCTATAGATATATTGTTCATGTCTGTAATAAGGCAAGCATACACAGAGTTTCAAAGTGACGCGCTCAAGCTCAAAGAGTCTGAGACGGCAGAAAGCGCATCCTGTTTGCTTTCATTATTTTACAAAAGCTCAACGTTTCGTTGTTATTCTGAGTGCACACGAATAAACGTAGAGTCTTTACAGATACAAAGGATGCATTACTCTTATCTGTACGACAAAAAATGACGAAGTATTTTAAGAACCAATGATGGCACCGGCGCCTCCATCTGTCCTGCAGTAGCCCAAGCGTGCCACTGTTCAGCTTCCACACTCCGAGCAAACACGTGAACTGTAAAGTTGCTACTACATACATATTTCAGATGATAAGCCATATTTGAGGTCGATGAATGTTAGGTGGATGTCCTGCCCGATGTGTATTACCACATAGACCAGCCGTTAACGATTTGTCTGTCATGGACTGCGTGATGTTGCCACTTCATGTGGAATTTTTTTTCTGCGACTAATAAAATTTTGGTAATATGCATATAAACAGACTTTTAATTAGCAGAGTAGAATAATCATGGCTGATAGTAAGACATGCAAACATAAAAGAAAACCAAACTGGACGTGAGAACAGCTATATTAAGGATATAATCAAAAATTTGGAGTTGGGATAACCTCCAAACCAAAGCCGATACCTTTTTAAAAGCTCATTATCGTCAAATGTTTCTAAAAATGTTTATATTCCGACTCGAGGTAGATTGCTGGCAACAGCCATTTTAGGATAGTTCAGATTTGGTCTTAGTGACTAAAGAGTCCTCTTCACTACTCCTAACATTTCACAGAGTTAAGAGCTCACTTTAGCGCTAAAACGCTTTGTGAAATACTCTTAGAACAAAAATTTAGGAGTCCTAAATTTAGGACTGACACGCCCATTATTTTTACGATTTTCTCCTAAATCGGCGAGTTATGAGCTACTTTTAGCCTTAAGATGTTTTGTGAATACAGGCCCAGTTGTACAATATTATATTGAAATTATAGTCTGGAGAAGATAATTAAAATGTAAAGACTGTTTTGAGCTAGGTATTTGAAACCAACATACAAACCACTGCATTTATGTAACTATTATAGTAGTTATTTATACAATCTTTTGTTTTTATATTTCAATCAAATTTGAGTTTGTTTTAGTAATTTTGCCATGTGCTTTTGTATTTTTTTATTAGTCGTTTTGAATATTCCAATATAGCTTTAATTTATTTGTATTTTCAGTTTTAATTCTAGTAATGCTATTAGTTAATAGTATCTAATAATCTTAGTAGGCAGTTGCAACATTTCTTATTTTTTTAATTAAAAAAAATCATTCAATTAAATTTCAATTTTAATGTTTTCAAAACTTCTATTCATTCATTCATATTGCGAAAACAATGAGTTTTATTTAACAGTAACAACACTGAGGAGTTACTGCACCGGTCCCAGCAGCAGTTTTAACATTAAGTGGCATGACATCTGACGCACAGATGCCATTGGCACATGCCGCTATGCTCAGTGATACTTCCGGTGGCACTTCCGGTTTTCAGTGGCATGTGTCAGTAAAACCTGTGACACGTGTCAGTGGACTGCGTCTTGTGTCAGCTGCCGCTGGGTGCCGCTGCATAAAGTAGATGTCTAAAGATGTCTACTATTCTAACGTGCGTTATGAAACTTACACCAACCATTCAGAAGTGTGCTTGACCTTGACACAGGCTTTTCACAACGCAATGCAAGGCTGATTGGCAAGTGTCAGTTAGTGGTGGCACATTTGATTAAAACGTTTCTTTTTTCTTTTCTTTTTTTTTTTAGTTATGGCCTCTGCATAGTCTCTATATTATTTTATAATTACAAATGATACAGCTGAACTGTCAAATCTATGCAAAAATGAAAAATGCATTGCACAAAGCAGGCTACTGGAAATAAACTTACAATGAAAAATACGCATTAAGGGGCATAAGACACATTTTAATCTTAATATAGGAACTCAGTTTTTGTTGTACAAATGAACTCCGCGATGTAATAAATCGTATGTTTGACAGCAACATACTGTTAATTAATTCAATATCGTTCTGCCGTTAAGTGCGCGTGACACGCAATCTACTTTATGCAGCGGCACCCAGCGGCACCCAGCGGCAGCTGACACAAGACGCAGTCCACATGCACGACACAGGAGTCCTGTATACAGTATCAGTCAAACACAAAGGCAAAAGCTCACGTTATGCTCATGTCCACGCTGACCCCCGGAGCTCCTCTCTCACTGTACATGATGGCAGTGGTGGAGATCACATCCACCAGTGTAGCTGTCAGTCCTCCGTGAAGAGTGCCTCCTCTGTTAGTGTGCTCCTCCTCCACCTTCAGCTCACACACCACTTTCCCAGGGGCTGCTGACAATACCTCCACCTGAGCACAACATGTCGATCGTCTCAGTAGGTTTACCGCAGAGTGAACTGGTCTGGCTGGTTTGCATATCAATGTGTGGATCTCCAACGAGAAGCACTGAATTTAACCAAAGATTTCGCTCGACACCTACCTTACTTAAAACCCGGTCAAATCCAGGACTATCCACCATCGCTCTCATGATCTGTTTGATTGTATTTAGCGACATTGACATCTTCGCTGATACTGCAAATACCTAAACTCAGTGAAGGACAGTCAGGTTCACTCTTGGAGAATGTTTGAAAGATCGCCCAAATGTTGTACAAAATAAGAGCATTATTATTATTATTTTCCTAGGCAAAGTCCCTAGACCACAACGACGAGAACGGCAGATAGCTAATGAAAAACTGCATTGTATTCATCTAATTAGGTCAACTAGATCTAATAAGTCAATCTATGAATACTAACAGAATTAAGACTGACCATTCGGCTATGGGGACTTTTATTATGACATAACGGGTCGTTCATGATTCATCTGAGTCGTGTCTGTTCAATGAATCGAATGAACAAAACATACCTGAACGATTCATTCAAGAACACGACTGAAGAAATTTAAACATAAGGCAACATAATACAATTTTGAATTTGCTAATGCTAACTATATTAAGTTATACATTTATTTGTATTTTATTCGCTGTCGCATAGAAGAAACAAACGAACTGAACTGGCACACACGTGTTTAGACATTATTTGACTTCTATATTATCCGTGCAGAGCACTGGCTGGCCAGGGACCCACTGATCTATATATAATACAGCATTTATATAGATCAGTGCAGGGACCTCGTAATTACATCATGCTAAAAGAATTGCTGAATCGTTTCAGTTTCGAAACGAACTGTTCGAAAGAACCGACTCTTTCGGTGCTACAGTTAAATGCTTCCGAAAAGCCTCTATATTGAGCAATAACCATTCTTCAGATCGGCACTCTCTGGTTGCAGCATTTAATGTAAAAATTAGGGTAATAATACTTTGAGTTCGTGATTTATAGAATAGTGTAAATAAATTAGGTCCAGCGACCACAAGCATACGTTAATGTTAATATTGCCTCCGTATTTTCGCGGGTTCCGCCCGGAATGTTTTTGTAGCTGTACGCGTTCATGTCCCGCCGTTATATTGAACTGTGAACATGTCCAACACTGTCATGTCAGGTAACCACACCGATCAACAAATGTCTGCTCTAGAGCAAACGAGGACGAGTCTTTGTGATCAGTTTGCCTCTGTCTCTGGATCGGACAGTGCTGTGGCGCAGTGTTATTTAGCAGAAAATGAGTGGGATATGGAGGTAACTTATGGCACTACTACTGCACCAAGTTTCCATTAAAAAAAACAATTGTATTGAGTAAAGTATGTTTAGTTCTCATCAACCACTGATGTTCTTATAAAAAGCTTTTTTATTTCTGTGCTCCTGCCAGAGAGCCTTGAACTCTTTCTTCGAGGCTCATATGGATTCAGTCTTTGATGTTGAAGATGCAGAGGAAACTAAAGATGTGTCTGGGAAGAAGAGAAAGGAGGTGAATTCCTCAGACCCTGCTGATACTTCAGGAACAAAGAAGAAATTTAAGGCGGACAAGATGGATTGGTAATGTTTTCTCCTCTATTTATTAGAAATTGAAAACGGCATTTGCTCTACATATACTATGTTACCCTATCTATTCTATATATATATCCCAAATAATATTTAAAATTGTTTGTTGTGCAGTATTGACCTGACAGCGGAGGAACCCACCTGCTCCAGCAGTGTGAACCCCCAAGAAAGTCAGGCTGAAAGTGTAACCGAATCTAATGCGGAGGACAGCAAGCTCTCCTTCATCAGCTGGAATGTGGATGGTTTGGACACATTAAGTCTTGCAGAGCGTGCCAGGGGCTTGTGTTCGTATCTAGTTCTGTGAGTTATTTAGATGTTTTCTTTGACCGTAAAGTTGGTTTGTTTTACTCGTAACTCCTCGTTTCATGTTATCCTTTGTTCTTTTGTAGATATACACCAGATGTGGTTTTTCTTCAAGAACTCATTCCTTCTTATATTCAGTATCTTAAGAAACGTGCTGTCAGCTACTTGTTTGTTGAAGGTAAGAGAATGACCTCTGTGCTCAGACAGTGAAGCTATTTATGAGTTATTTACACATTCAAGTTCTCCGTTATTAAAGGAAGCGATGACGGATACTTCACAGGAATAATGTTGAAGAAATCAAGAGTAAAACTTCTGGAAAGTGAGATCGTCGGTTATCCTACAACACAGATGTTGAGAAATCTATTAGTTGCTCAGGTGAGTTTGTGGTTTGTAAGCATTATCCAAAGATTGTATTGGGGTATAATGAGTGGCACAGGTCTATTTGAGTCTATTTCTTAATAGAATCTGAAATTACAATGTACCAATTCTGTATTTATTTGATAAAAATACAGTGAAAACAGTAATGTTGTGAAATGCCATTACAATTTAAAGTAACTGTTTTCTATTTCTATACGTTTTAAAATGTAATGTATTCCTGTGATGCAAATCTGAATGTTCAGCATCATTACTCCAGACTTCAGAGTCACATGATCCTTCAGAAATCATTCTAATGTGCTGATTTGCTGCTCAAGTGCTGAACATTTTGAACATAGAAAATTCAAAAGAGCAGCATTTATTTGAAATAGAAATTGCTTGTAATATTATACATGTCTTTACTGTCACTTTTACTGCATCCTTGCAGAAAAAAAGTATTAATTTAAATAAAAAACTTTCAGACTGCAAACTTTTAAGTGGTAGTGTATGCATACATTAATATTTACTTTTCTAGGTTATTATGTGTCTCTCATAATTCATTAGCTTCTCATTATTTATACACACATAAATTTTTCTTCTTATTAAGGTGACTTTCTCAGGTCAGAAGCTATACTTGATGACATCACATTTAGAAAGCTGTAAGAACCAATCAGAGGAGAGAATGAAACAACTGCGGCTCGTATTTCAAAAGATGAAGGAAGCACCAGAAGACGCTACTGTAATTTTTGCCGGGGACACCAATCTCAGAGACTCGGAGGTAAAAAAAAACAAAACAAAAAGTGTTGAGTTTGACTGATGGGCCTCTGAATAATAGAAGAAGGTTAGGAAATACTGTGCTAACAAGCGCAATAACTCCAAATACGACGGAGGAATGAGAGCGCAGTGAAAGCCACTAGTGCAATGAATGCAGCATTTCTGAAGATTGTTTCTGTCCGTGTAGGTGGTAAAGGTGGGAGGTTTGCCTCCAGGTGTGTGTGATGTTTGGGAACAGCTGGGCAAACAGGAACACTGCCGATACACTTGGGACACCAAAGCAAACAGCAATAAGACTGTGCCTTACATCAGCAGATGTCGCTTCGACCGCATCTTCTTTAGGTCTGCTAAAACCGGCCCAAGAGTCGCTCCTGACCACATGGTCTTGGTCGGAATGGAGAAACTGGACTGTGGCCGTTACACCAGTGATCACTGGGGAATTTACTGCACTTTAAAAAAACATGATTATTAAATGTCTCATAGAAGATGGTTTTAAAGAGTGTTTGTACTAAAATAAAGCATGTGAAGAGTGCCTACAAATCCAGACTACAGATCAGTGTAAGATACAAAGACATACAGATAATAATAGGATGCATAGCTGGATATAACATACTGTGCAGAGAGACATCTTATTGAAGGGTTTGAATAGAATGGTTTACTTATTATTCCACAGTTGTTGTTTTTTTTGTATTTGTCATACAAAATCTATTTCAAACCATGATTTCAGTCAATCTCTGTTCTCTCATAATTTCTTTTTTTTTAATGTGAAAGTGTTGACTGAATTTAAATGATTTTATTTAAATAAATGTGACCTTGATTTATTGTGGTACGGGTTGCGTGTCCTATATTACACCACAAGTGGTCAGTATTTCTCAAACATGGCCTTTATATAAATAAGCTTTTAAATGTCATTGGAACAGAGGCATGGTGTACTATTACTTTTTGAATCAACACACACATAGCGTGTGTACTGTAAAAAATCTGTGAAATTAAAATGCTGTGTAAAATGATGACATCAAAATTGTGCACATAGAACTACTAAATATACAGTAATATTCTGAAAATACCCCCCAAAAATGCTATGGAAAAATTCAGAACCAAACACAGCGTTTAATTTTCAATTAAGAATATATTAAAATAATTTTTGATTTAATGTTTTGTTTATAAAGAATTTCTTTGCATAATTGACATATTACTGTGATTTAAACACAGAAAACTATATATAAAATATATTTACCTTATTTCACTTTTACAGTTTCTCTTTATATTTCTTTTTTTATTTATATTATCTTCTTTTATATTATAATCACAAATTATATTGTGTAAAATTATTTATAATCCCCCCCCCCAAAAAAAATTATGACTGACTCTAGTTGTGCCCGCATTTCCTTCACACTGAACAGATTTGAAGTTCAGAAAATTTTTTTTTTTTTTCAAAAGTTTGTCTGTATGCAGTATGACCACTGATCTATATATAATGTTCTCTATTATAGATCAGTGAATATGACATGATGTGCAACAAAAAGTATCAGTTGCGAATAGAATATTGTTACTGTTCATCATTACCAATCAAGCTGTAATTTTGTGCAAAAAGTGGGAAAATGTTATTTATTTGTGCATTTGAATACATAAAATTACAGCTTTGAAATTAGCCTTAGCAAAACAAAGGAGTCTGCCATTTTATTCCAAAAATGTAATTCTCTAAACTATCATTTCCATCACAGAATGCTATTAAAGCAATACATTGAGATGGGGTGCACTGAAATAACACTGGTGGGAATAAAAAAAAAAAAAGTGGACATTGTTAGTAGACAAATTAAATAAACTAGCGAGTCTGTTTATCTTCTGATGCTTAAACTACCACAGCCTGAGCTCACTGGATCTATCTCTGAAATAATCTTCAGATAAATATGGTACTTATTCCAGTTGGTGAGGTCTCCTCTTAACTGTCCTAAATGAGCTGAAAGCATATGAGTGTCAAGGCAGCAGCTGTCTTAAGCAGGGTGGACACGTGACTCCAGACAACCTTGAAAGACACCTCACTGCCAAGGCTAATAAAGCTTTGGCTTGGTCAGATGAGTAAATATGACATCTAAACCAGGTCAGACTGCCACAGATCTGCCCTCGGGGTCTGTATGACTGGCTCACAGAGGTCTGCTCGCGGCACAGACACACTCTCCTTGCCCCTCTCTCCAGGATAACATCCACTGTTACTTAAAGGGCCAGTCCTGTGATAGGTTTGTTTGAATATCCTTATACTTGTAGCTGACACAAGACTGTTAGAGGCTCTCATTGTCCTCAACAAGACATGGTAGTAAATCGCAATGATCTTCCCCTCAATAGGAATCACTGTAGCACATTGAATTGTTTTGACACATGGCCAGGAGCACATGCTATTTCAGGGAAGGGGGAATAGTGGGACTTTCAGATCAGTCCTCTCCAAATGTTAAAGACAAGGGATGTCAATATACCAGACCGAACATGCAATCAATGGTAACATAATGACAAGCACGTGATGTGTTTGTTTGGTCAGCACTTTGCAGGAGGGTTTTCCCTTATCAGGGACACACAAGGTTACGGTCATGGAACAACTCCAGCAGGGGTCTTCCAACACAATCTCAAGGCAATTCATAACTAGTTTACGCTTTAGTGAATTGGTGGATATTATTTATGTGAATTTATTATTATTTTCTTGTTTTATGTTTAGGAGGGACCTTCATGGGTACTTTTTTATTTGTAAAAATCGTACGGTTTCTAATGTTCACATTATACAAAGTCATGAAATTGGCACCTGGTAAAATATTTATACTTTCCCATGAGATTGGGGCTGTTTATGTTGTTTAGCGGTGGACCTTCCTGCTTACTGTTCTTTTTTGATTGTTCGTTTAAAAGGATAGTTCACTCAAAAATGAAAATTCTGTCATTAATTACACAAATTAAGATGACCCTGCACAGACACAACTGACACATTCAAGGCCCAGGAAGGTAGTAAGGACATTGTTAAAATAGTCCATGTGACATCAGTGGTTCAGCCATAATTTTGTGAAGCAACGAGAATACTTTTTGTGTGTGAGGAAAACAAAAATAATGACTTTATTTAACCATATTTTTCTCTTCCGTGTCGGTCTTAGATGTGCAACACATGCGTGTGTTGCTGCTGACGCAGGAGCCGGCGTTCTGACGTAGAACAGAAAGCTCTCGGATTTCATAAAAATATCTTAACTTGTGTTCCGAAGACGAACAAAGGTCTTACGGGTTTGGAATGACATGATGATGAATTTTCATATTTTTTCACATCATTTTTTTTTTTTAACCGTAAATCTTCGTACAATTCACATTGTACAAATTCATACAAATTTGCCACATTGTAAAATAGTTAAATTTTCCAGTGAGACCAAGTTGGTTATATTTGGGGGTGGAACTTAGTTTTTCTGTTATTCAATTTACATTGTACAAAATTCATTCAAAATTGTCACCTTGTAAAATAGTTATGCTTTCTTATGAGATCGGGTTGGTTATGTTTAGAGGTGGAGTTAGGGAACGACCTACACACTTTTTGTAAAAAAAAAAAAAAAAAAATATTTGTAAAAAGTTTTCATACAATTCACATCGTACAAATTTATATGAAATTTTCACTTTATAAAATAGTTTACAAATAGTTTTCTCATTATATTAGGTTGGTTTTGTTTAGGGGGGGGGTGGGGACCTTTTTGGTTATTTTCTAAAAATCATACGTTTTTGTTCCGTTATGTTTTTTTGTTTTTTTTTAATTGTATGTTTTCATTTGATTCACATTGTAAAAATGAATAAATAATAAAAATTTATGCAAAATTTTACAAGGTTGCATTTTCGTATATATTTTTATGATGCGAGTCAAACATATTAATGGTTGGTGTAAATGGTGAACCTTCATAGTTCTAAAAAAAACAAAAAAACATACGTTTTCCTACAGTTCAACATTGTACAATTTCATATAAAACCATATGAATATGAATATCTACCTTGTACAAAGTTACATTCGTACATCCTGTGAGACTGGGTTGGATCTTCCACATTTCACAGTTCAGACTGCATGCTTTAGGTTAGATAATGGTGCAGTTTGTACCATGTCACTGCAACTCCAAGATAACAGATACTGAAACAGGAGGCAACCATGTGAGGAATGAAATCTTAAGTAATTATTTAAGCAGACAATATAGCACTGTCAATCTGTAACTAAACTGAATTATCAGCAAGGATCCAACCATGCCCCCTGGATCTTGTGTTCTGCAGTGAGGGGCTACTGGAAACACTGGGGTATTTATGTAGACTAGAGAGCACAGCACAAGATGCTCGTGGAATTTTTCCAACAATTTTATTTCATAAATAACACTGAACAAGCATGGTACAGCGATAAATATTTATTTACATTGCAAAATTCTCTGTATTACAAAATACAGTGTATGTAAAATGCACTTGTCAAAGGGGTCAAGAGGTTTCAGTATAGTACCTGATGTGCCCTAATCTGAAATTACATGTGTATGTTTTTTTTTTTAATGTGCTGTAATCTCAGATTAAGGTTTGCCAAGAACCTCACATGACCCCTTTGCTATTATGCGCACTGTTGCATATCCCACTGTCATTTGAACTGGAAAAAAAAAAGACAAAAGCACTGATACATATCCTCAAATTGTCATTTATTTTTGTCGTTTGTTAAATTTTGATTCTTTTTGCATTTTACATCCCAACAATCTTCAGTTTTTCAGTTATCGCAACCCCATGCCTGCTCGAATTAAAGTCTGAACACACTGCAGGCAAGTGTCCCGTTTCAATGTCTTAGGCAGCAAGAGGTACAAGGCAGGTTGACATCGTAACACAAGACCAGGATTGTTGGATCTCTACAATGTAACTCAGATGGTGAGTCAGCATGTTCAGTTTTTATTTATTGCTAAATTCAGAAAACAGAGGGGCTATTCCATTTCCTTGGAGAAAAAAATTAAATAAAAAAAACATTCGTCCCATTTTTAAGTTAAGGAATGTGTCCATTTGTGCACAGTTACACCTGCACTTTTCAAAATAAATGTAACAACTTGTTAGAAAATCTATTTGCACACTCTCCATGTAAGAAAAAACAAGATGGTGTAGATCACTTAGTAAAATTGCAATATTAATTCGAGCCCTTGTCAGCATTTCACTCAGACCCTACAGTCTAAGTAGCAGCAAAACTATAACTGGAGATGTAAATAGAGTAAAATGAGATGGTTTTTCGGAATGAGCAGCGCGCCAGTGTTCCACTGATTGCCAGATTATGGTGACGCTCTAGTGTTGATGCTGTAAACCAAACGGCGAGTCTCAAATGACACTGAGAATGAAGTCACTGCCGACTGAGTGTACGGTTTCTGGGAAACCCATCATTTAGAGCATGTGTTTCTTATAAAAAAAGAAAAATGTGGATAAAAAGCTCACAGTTACAAAAATGAAATCAAAGTCACCTCCACAATGATTTACAGCATGAGCGGCTGGATTTACAGCATAATTTCATGTCAACCAACACAGCAGTGTCGTATTGTATGGGAGAATGTAACGAGAGGACAAAACAAACAAACTAAGCACCAGGATTGCGTGAAATCCCTTGCACGGAGGGATTTCATGTTCCCGGTGTGGAAGCTGTGAGTTAACTGCGGCTCTGAGCACGCTATCAGAAGCCTGTGCTAATTTATATAGCCAGAACCCAAATACGTCAGTCAGTGCTCAGGAGTCTTTTGTTTCTAATTAGGTGAATCTCTAAGGAGGGAACGACAGATATTACTATGACTGGAGTCTGGTAATAACATTGTAGTTGTAGTTTTGTCAGTTATTTGTAGCGGTTCTTGTCGCGCTCAAGTGTGCCGTGGAGGCTTTGAGCTGAATTTTCACTGGTGTGCATTTTTGAGAAAAACTGCCAAAAGATGCATTGTAGGCAATCGTGAGCCATTTCAGCACAGTGCCAACAACCCATTAGACTGATGTGAATAATGTTGAACTTCAGCATTCATTACATAATAATAATAATAAAGTACTAACAAATGACAATGCTTCCCTTTTTATATATATATTTTCCCTTAACTTAGGGAAAATATTTATATAAATACATATCTTTAAATAATTATACAAATATATTAGATATTCAATATATAGAATATATTCATCATAATTACTTTCCCCGCTTTTCTGCATTTCGTCTTTATCTTACATATTCAGTTTGTTAAATTCCATATGTGCAAACGTTTTGAATTATGATTCTAACAATGAACAAATTAACAAAAGTGTTGTCAAAAATGCTCACAGCCCTATAATAAAGCATTTGATTAAATAATACAAGAAAGAAGGCAAAGAATTTCAGTCCTCTCAATATGAGAATGAGAAATCGAACACGTACGATCATACCGCTGAGCTAATCACGCTGTATTAAAGTTTCTTGGCAGGACATTCTTAAATAACCAGCTAAGAAAATGTCCTTCCCTCCCATCTGTTCCTTACAAAACTGCAGAGTAGCAAAAGTGTTCCCAGTTTGGCAAAAGCCAGAATTTGTACGTAGGTGGTACTAACTGATAATAGTTTTTCTTACTCTAGACATAATACGAAAAGAAACAATCCATCAAGCAATACCTTTAGATGAAAAAAAATAATAATAATTATAAAAAAAATTAAACAATTCTTCATATTATATATATAAACAAAAAAAAGGAAACATCTTAAGCATATTAACCTGATATATTAGTTGTGCCCTCTTTAGTAACTAACTACAATTCTATAACATTTGCTTTAATTAATTTACCCACTTCATGCTTTAGACCGCCTATAAAGTTATATAATTTTATATTAGTATCATAAAAAAGAACTTTAAGAAGAAAATGCACCGCAAAAACAAATAGATCTCAAGTCAATCTCATAAACTTCTGATATAATACTGGCCCTGGGTCCCAGTCTTTGGGCAATGTTTCCATCAAAGCCTGATGATGGGCTCTTCGGCTCTTTGACAGTCCAGTGCCTCTCCACATCAGACCTCCATCATAACCAGAACAGCTGGCTGGGACTGTAGCAGCTCCCAAGACTCCCTGACACAGCCGAGACAGATCTCCATCCGTCCAACTGGATAAAAGTGGCGTTTAGACCACATTGATCCCCCCTCCTGCCGCAGCCCGTTTGCTGCAGTAGGTCGAGCCGCCGTGGTTGGCCGCTTCGCCGTTCATGTACGACGTCTTCAGCTCCAACTGGCAGGCTGCAATGGCGGCGTTCAGTTCCACTTGTGCTCGATGTACAACGTAAAACATCAGGCCTATGCTGATGAAGATCTGATGAGAGGAACAGAGAGAGCGAGTCACCGGGCGGATCTGCAGACAAAGCTGGACGACGGTTGATACAAACATCCACATGATGGGACTTATTCAGTGTGGTTGTAAATTTAAGCAATAATTCCTTGGCTGATATCTCGAAACATCCTGTTTCAGTCAAGAATTCATTTCTGGCATCTAACTTTACTACACACAAGGGCAAATGCAAAATAAGAACACATTTTTGGTCAAAACTCTGCCAATGACCATCTATAATTATGGTTTACTACAGGTTCCACAAGAATCTAGACTAGACATAAATATTTAATTTCCTCATACGGTTACATATCCATTGCAGAATCTGCAAAACACCATTTAAATAAATAAAAAAAAAATATATATATTATTTTTTCAATGATGTTATTAAATACTTTATACATCAAATTTTTAGTGCAGAAGACATATATAACACAATTCTACAAGACAAAATCAATGAAATTACACAAATTATCTGGTTTAAGCTTAACATTGGGTTATACTCTTTAGAATTAATCACTGTTTATAACCTTTTGTGATTATCGTCTATTAGTCTCTCAATTGTCCAAGTGGCAGAGCTAAATCTAAACGCCACTGAAAGTTCCAGTGAATTCTGAGAATTCCAATATGCAAAGCATACTGGGAAACCAAAGAACTTCACAAAACAATGAACAGCTTTAGGGCAACATTATATTATGCACCACTAATTGTGTGTAAAAAAAACAAAACAGGTAATAGAGTAATCAACAGGAAGAGAGTCAGCGTTGCATTCTGTGTTGTATTAAAATCTATAAATAAACGTGACAAACTAAACGTGACTCAAAAAAAAAAAATCCTAGTGATGCTCCTCATTTGCAAGCTGCTTTGGATAAAAGCGCCTGCTAAAATGCAAAGTCTTGGATCCAAATGTGAATGTAAACTTCTTTTGATAAACTTCTTTTAATTAATATAACTTCTGGAAGATTCTGCAAGGAGTATGTTAAACTGTGCATACAGGGTTCCTGCCGAATTTCTTTCCAGATCTTTTCTGGCTTCATTTTTGTTTTTGGAGGCTTACCTGTAGACTGAACACGAAGTATCCACTGACGCTCTGTTCTGCGATCACGTCTTCCATTGTGCGCAGGGTGGTGCCCAGATATGAGTTAAGGAGTTGTGTTGGGAGAAGTCCCACTGAGGAAGCCACTAAATAATTTGGCAAGGACACGTCTGTGATCTGTCAAAGAGAGCAACAACTAGAGTTGGTCAAGATTAATCACAGAGTGTTTTCACCGCCTGCAAGAATGTGTCATCAGCCTCGCTTAGCCCCATCACTGTCCTTCACATGCTAACTGGACTTTTCTAGCCTCTCTAATGCAATAGAATTGAAAACATTTCCATATCAATCATTTTGGTTTTCTATATTATCATATGTTGACATGCCAGCAATTTAAAATAAAAATAAAAAACTTTTTTAAACACATATCACCACCATTCATCTCACACATTCATTTCAATTTCCTCTATGTAAATACAGCACAATGCCCAGATTTGTTCTGCAAAACATGTGGGATGTTTTACTGGTTGTATTGCATTGCTATAATGCTTTGAAAATGAAATCTAAGCAAACACACCCTACATAAACGTATTAAAGCATTGTATAATTCAACTCTATAACCTTTGGGTGCGAGTTGTAAAACATGGTGCATATCTCTGTCTTCTAGTGCTAAACTATGAACCATGATGTAAAACCCTTCTATGCTTCACATGCTAACTGGACTTTTCTAGCCTCTCTAATGTAATAGAATTGAAAACATTTCCATATCAATCATTTTGGTTTTCTATATTATCATATGTTGACATGCCAGCAATTTAAAAAAAATTTTTTTTAAACACATATCACCACCATTCATCTCACATATTAATTTCAATTTCCTCTATGTAAACACAGCACAATGCCCAGATTTGTTCTGCAAAACATGTGGGATGTTTTACTGGTTGTATTGCATTGCTATAATGCTTTGAAAATGGAATCTAAGCAAACACACCCTACATAAACGTATTAAAGCATTGTATAATTCAACTCTATAACCTTTGGGTGCGAGTTGTAAAACATGGTGCATATCTCTGTCTTCTAGTGCTAAACTATGAACCATGATGTAAAACCCTTCTATGTTAGCTCATTAGGCTGGCGAAGATGCAGGCATTGTTTGATTTGGGTTGCGTCGACCTGTTAATATTCATGAACGAGATAAAATGATGCATTCTTGTTCTAAGAAGCGACTTCATTGTAAATTGCTGTGAAGCAATATTTTAAGTATGCACTATGCAGACGCATGCATTGTGTTGGGTTACCTACATAACGCATCACATTCTGCTTCAGCAGAAAACGCAGGGCACATTGAAATACGGCCCTTTCTATAGGACGTGCTTACTGAGGATGCGAAACATAATTCCAGTGTGACCCGTTTAGTGCCGACATATATCACACCCTTGGGCTGTGATCCCTCAGTTATGTAAAAAAAGAAAGGCGAAATAAAACCAATTAGGGTCAACACAATTAAGAGGCACTTTGTTCCCTCACTTTCCAAATGTAGACTGATACAAACTGAATAACATCCTCATTGATATTAGGACTATAGCAGAGGGTGGCAGGCTAATGGAGCGAGAGAACTGACTCGCGTATCGGGTTCAATCCCATGTAAAGTTACTGAGATGACCCAAGTGCTCGATCACGACAGCGTCCTTCAGAATGAACACAGACTTACGTTGCTTTAAGGGCAGTGACACTTGAGCTAACGTAATGTAGGTTACTTTTGACTCAAAAGTGATGGCTAAACAGGGCTGCACAAGTCTTTTTTTCTATTTTGCGTAGGGCAACTGCAAGTCATAGGCATCTAAACAGAATTTTAGCATCACTGAGATATATCATTTTTTATTAACATTTGAATTAGTTTTTATTCTTATATCTTCCGAATCCGATTTAAAAATGAGAAATGTTGCTTTGGTAAAAAAGTCTAAATCTTTTTTTTTTTTTTTACTTCAGTTAATATTTATTTTATTTCAAGTAACGATGTTTTTACTATTTTAGTTAATGATAACGTGTTTTAAAACAAGCTGGGAATTCAGTGTTTCTGATTTTATACATCTGTAAATCAAGACTGCAAATAAATGGCCATTTTTCTTTACTGGTCCTCTTAACTGCATGAAAAGAAAACTGCTATTCAAACGTGTAATTAATTATACACAGAAAGTGAGCACCATGCCAATACTAGAACACTCCCATCCTGTCCGTTGTTAGTTTACACAATTTCACACAACAGTCTGAGTCCAGACTGCTCACACACACAGAGTTTGGACTCCGTAGCTACGCAACAGAATCAATATTTTATTACAGAATGTTTACAGCTTGTTGATTATAATTGGGAGTATTCTAGTTTTGATTACAGTGCATATTGTGTGTTGTACAAAATACAAATCGCAAATGCAAATTTGCTAAATAACTAGCACTTTGGTTTAAAGCTTTGTGTGTGCCAGGCGATTCATCCAATATATAACAGCTGCCTTTATTAAGAAGTCTAATATACAAATGTTAAATGTTCTGATTCATCTCTGCATTCATGCACATAATGTTACAAATGTTTAACCGCTGCAAAAAATATTGTAATTGACAATATTTACAGTTATTTAATTGCAGCAGCGTAACTGTAATTTTGAATATTTTTCCATTAACTGTGCAGTTAAACAGCTGTTTTAACATTAAAGCTGTTTGTTAACCTAAAAAAAGACATAAATTCCTGATGTAAGCAGGTGTTCAATGTTCATTTCCAGCACTCCTGAAACCCAGATATGATCAGTCACTGTCAGACAAAATAACATGATCCGTCACGTGGAAGTGGTGTTAAACATTTAACTTGTATTAAAAAACATCTGCTCATAATCATCGCCATCATAAAAATAACTTCAAAGGAGAAATACATTAACATATGAATTATCCAGTGAATAAATTATGCAAACAAGGCAAGCAATAGTCAAATATGTTCTAAAATGGCAGGCTGCAAGTCCATATCGAAAACCAAACCAGCCTTAACCCCTCAGAAAGTCTCTCAAATCTAATTCAAAATAAGCAGATGCAATCTTTCTTTGTTTTAAGAAACAACTTCTGAACGAAGAGAATAAAACACAGCTCGCTGAACAGTGACTACACTAAATCATTTACATAAAATTAAAAATCACATTAAAATCACATTTAGGAGGCCAGAAAACTGTGTAACTTTTTTGGTAAATTATTTAAATGTTGCAGTATATTTACATGTGTCACCACGTATTTATCAAAAAGGTTAAAGAAACTGGGTTAGACGTAATTCTGAGTAAGGCTAAAAATGCTGTTAGACACTGCAGTAGGTATGTATCACTTTTCTTTACAGTTCTCTGTCATTGTCAAAGGTTGCAGTTTCTTTCTCATGTGTGTCAGCTAATTAAAAATGTATTATGTTGGTTGTGTAAAGTGTCTGAGGGGAATATTACAGTGTACAGCGAGACCTGTCTTTATACCCTTGATCCTGCGTGAAGAGCAGTTATGTTTGATCTGGCTCTGAGCTGGAGGTCTTAAATTGTTTAATAGCCACCTGGACGTCCCTTAAAGTTTAACAGCCACTTCAATGCTATTAATCAGATACCTTTGTGTGCTGGATGTCTTTTTATTCAGCTAAAATAAATCAAATAAATGAATTAATCAATTAAAAATGCATAAATAAATAGGGAGAATCATATGTTTGGCTGCAGCGAAAAAAAGTTTGTGAAAGCCTGAATGTCAAGGTTTTTTTGCTTCAGTGTCGCTCAGTGAGGGGTCACCCACAGCAACACGTCCTTCAGGTACTGGCGCACCAGGGCCACCGAGGAGAAGCACACGGCCGTCAGGACGCACGCCAGCAGGGCGCTTTTGAAGCAACAGGTGGTGATGCAGCACGGATGCCTGAACTCGGGAGTGAAGGACGCGCCGGGCTCGGTGTGACCCGCGGGGTCCGCCTCCGGTTTCCCGCCGTTCCCTCGCTCGTCAAAGACGTTGCAGATCAAGATGTCGATCTTGTCGCAGTCCAGGGGGTCCGGGGTGCGCTGCAGCCAGCGGCTCAGCTGGAGCTGTCCTTTCCCCGCGGCGTGCTTCAGGGCTTTCAGCACACCCTGCACTGGCCCCGAGCTCCACATATTCATCCCGCCTTCATAGGACTCCACTGGATGAATCGATTGGACCAGTCCAAAATGTTGACCCTTGAATGTAGGCTACACGTTGCCCAACCCGGGCTCCTCTGGCGATGCGATCAGCAACGATTTCCCTGGAAAGCGAAGACTAGCAGTCCGGTGATTTATAACCTAGTGATTTATCTCGGAGAGACTGATGTGGAGTCGTGCCACTTCAAGGACTTGAGATGCAAGCGCGTCAGCTGCCGTTCGCTTATGAACGCCATTCTCTCGATCCCAACATCAGAGGAATAACCCCCTCTCAGACCGCTCCTGTCTGACGGATCAATCACACACACGCTCGACTTGCCCGAGTCCAGGCACAGCTCGCTCCAGAGTCCCGCCGCTCAAAGTGTCACATCTCTGCGCTCAGCTGAGCGCGGTTATAAGAGCTGTGAAAGACGGTCGCTGCGTCTGCCGGACTGCTTGTTCACGTGCGCTCCGCGAGCTCTTGTACACATCGGCAAGGGACGTTTGTTTACGCCAAGCGTTATTCATGCCACTGTTTGTTTCCCAGCATTCCGTGCGGCGGCGTCACTGTGAGTATCGCGATAACACACAACAGCTCTGTGATTCACCTGGAAAGGCTGTTTGTAGTGTAAAGTACATTCACTAGTGGAAATATTTCACTCATGGTCAGTTGATAGTGTTGGATAATCCAGTATACATAAATATAAGTTTACTAGAAACACTGCTTTTTTGGTGTTTATTGAGTAAAACACACATTGGACACTAGGCTATCCTATATATATATATATATATATATATATATATATATGTATATATATATACATGCATGCATGCATACACACACACACACATAATTATTTATATTAATAATAATAATATTTTTTTATTTAATAATCGGGAGGCTCCAGCTTGTAAACCCATTTCTGCCTCATAACACAAAAATAAAATAAATAAATAAAATACATACATTCATAAATGCATTCATGCTTTTTGGTATACTTTGGGTCTCTTTTCAACCTTTATTTAGATTTAGTAAAAACAATATTTTTGGTGTTATTGAGTGACAACATAGGTTGGATATTATTAGACACTCTTTGAACAAAGTATTATGTACCTTTATTGTTTTCTTGTTAATTTATTTTTTTATACTTTCTAATACCTCCTTTTACAGATAAATTTAGCATTAGATATTAGATATATTTAAATTTAGATTCTATAAATATCTATAAATGCTAAGATTAAATGTCAAGAATAAATCTCCTTAAGTTACACTGATAGAATACTCAGCCTTTAAAAGCCACATGAAAAAAATACGCATGTTGATTCACGTGCTCAGCCAATGAAAAGGCCCAAATTGAGCATTGTGACATGAAAACACAAAGCTGCTCTGATGTACAGTCACTTTACATTTTTATAGCATTAAAGACAATCTTTTTAATGCTGCCAATCACTGCATTTCCTTTAGGAAATACAAATCTAGTTTGCTTTGTAAATCTACTGAAGCACTTTGACGGGTTGACAAATCTAACTTCTTCCCTTCCCGTTTTCTGTTTTTAAAGTTCTTTCGTCATTTTTCAAAGAGGCATTTAGCCTATACAAATACACTTAGTTCAATAGCAAGAGTAAAAAAGAAACGGCTTCAGCAAACACTGGGATTGTATTTAAAATATGGTAAATATATAATAATAGCCAGCCATAGATCTCCAGTGTTATCAGTGTTCATCATTTTGATTTGACTCCCTTTACCTTTATAACAGATCCTGTCCCTCCTGGAATGCTGCCACACAAGCTCTTAAAGGGATAGTGCACCCAAAAATGAAAATTCTGTCATTAATGACTCACCCTCATGTCGTTTCAAACCCGTAAGACCTTCGTTCATCTTCGGAACACAAATTAAGATATTTTTGATGGCTGACCATCCATAGACAGCAATACAACTGAAATGTTCCCAAGTACAGAAACAAGGAGATCTGTAAAATAATTCATGTGACATCAGTGGTTCATCCGCAATTATACGAAGCTACGAGAATACTTTTTGTGCACAAAAGAAAAAAAATAACGACTTTATTCAACAATTCGTCTCCTCCGCATCACCCTGGTGCCATTTTGGAGAATATCCGCTGGACGTAAACAACGTATGCTGTTCTGTGTAAGCTGCGTCATGCCGGATCTGTTTCCTACCTGGTTGTGATTTGATCTGAACGAAAACAGCGTATCCGTGTGACAATGAACCACTGATGTCACATGGATTATTTTACCGATGTTGCTACGTTTCTGGACTTGGGAATATTTCAGTTGTATTGCTGTCTGTGCAGGGTCAGACAGCTTTCAGATTCCATCAAAAATATCTTAATTTGTGTTCCGAAGATGAACGAAGGTCTTACGGGTTTGAAACGACATGAGGGTGAGTAATTAATGACTGAATTAAAATTTTTGGGTGAACTAACCCTTTGTAGTAGTTTGTATATTTCACAATTACATACGAGTCACATATACTCATGAGCAGGGCTGGATTTACCTCTTTTCGTGAAATTTTTGGGCCCCCCTTCCCTTTTAATATAATAGACCTAATATTACCACCCAAGCAAACTAAAATATTTCTTAATCAGTGGAAACCGTTACAGTGTTTTCTATTGCAATAAGCGCTTGCGTTTAGTCAATAAAAATCGAATGTAGTTCTTAATTTGTTTGAGAACTGAGAAAGACCTTTCCATTAATAGGCGTGGCGTCGTGGCCACATAATCACTTCAGGAGTGCATTATTTCTCTAATAATTTTAACGGCCTGGAGTCACAACCACACATCAAGACATTGTTCTAATGCGGTTATTAGAGCGACCGGAAGGAGCAGAAGCGGTCGACTGTGGCACAATAAAAGCTACGCTGTTTTTGAGCCGTGTGTCACGCTCGCTCAGCGGCCTCGTTTCGCTTTGACGGCTTTCAGTCTCACCCTGCTTCATTCTACTACGTTAATAAATCATTAGCTCATCCATGAACATGATTTCTGCCCGAGTCCCGTCGGATTGCATCAGCTGTGGGGATGAAGACAACAACTACCATGATTCCACACTCAGTCACACCGTCATCAAACTAGGTCTTTGTTTCTTTGTTTGTTTTGAATACTTGCCCTCTGGCGGCGAAAACGTACATATTGTGCCTTTAAGTGCGTGTGAACACCTGCGTCTGTGCGTCTCTCAGCAGCAGCGCCTACTAATAGCGAATCTTTAAGTTAAACTGCTTCAAGAACCTTGCAACTGAGAAATGTCATGTAGCTTTTCAGCTGCGAAACTATTTTATTGATAAATTCGCGGTGCAGCACTGACAAGAAGTTTCTGTTCGTGTCTCCGCGTGTCTACACTGTGTGTGTGTGTCTGTGAGAGAGACTGGGAGAAAGAAAGCCTGATTTCCGTAGCCTACATAAAAATGGTGGAAGACATGGAAATAGTTTGTCATTTTTTACCCTATGGTTTATTATATTTATTTGCTCAATGTCTTCTGGGGTTTTGTAGAACTGTTCTTTTACAGTTGTAGATAGGTCATAGTATAACAAAAATATATATCTCTTCATTGTGTTTGGGCCCCCCTGGACGAGCTAACATAGGCACGTGCCTAGAATGCCTATGCGTAAATCCGGCCCTGATCATGAGAAGATAAGCGCTGGTTCTCTCCCAGATGAAGGTGGTGTCCTTTTTTGCACACTTCACACTAGAATGAACCATAAAAGATGAATGGATGGAAGGTTATGGAGGCATTGGACTTTACCCTGGTATTCATGAAACCACTTTTGAATGATTTTATCAGTATTTGTGGGAATATTATCAGAGCACAGGGTTTGCATCATAGCCATTCATTTAGCAATCATCAGACCTGTCTGCCATGTCATTACAGATAGTCTGTGATTTTAGACATTGAGGGTTGAAGGCAACAGTTGGCTCGTGTATGAATGTAGAAACATGACTCATCTGGCCACAGTACATTTATAAGCACTCTGCTCAAGGTTAATGGTTTTGTTCTCCTTACAACAGATTATGAGTCTTTGTGTATTGACCTTTGTCAAGTGGTTCCAGTTTAATAACCACATATTAATCAGTCTTTTAATGTGGCTGGGTCAGTGAGTTGCTTATTTAATTCTGTGTTAGTTTTAGTGGGTGTGTTTTTGTGTGATTTAGCAGCGGCCCTATTAATGAGCTTTAACTCGAGCCTAGTAATTGCTACCAAACTAATGTAATTTTGTGATTACACTGATTCATTTGAAAATTGAAAAAGTGCCAGGCAAAAGTTTGGGACATGTTTAGTTACAAATAGGCTATGTTATTTAAGTGCTTCAAAGGTAAATTTCTCTCTAACGTGATGCTTCTGTTCCTGGCATGTTTTACCACAAGATGTCGCTGCGGTTTCACCTTTAATTCACTGAAAGATTTTTGTGCTTCATTTCAAGGAATTGCCTTCCGTCATCAAGGTTTAAAGTGAATTTCATTTCACAGTAATTGCGTTTACTATTTTTTTTAAAGATAGGAAGGTAGAAAGGTCTTTAAAAAATGTTTAAATGGCGAATTACTTTTTTCTGTAAGAAAATACATACTGTGTGTAAACATAATCCTGTTTAAAGCGCGCGAGTGTATTTAGAACTGTGCTATGATCACTTAAAGGAATATAGTTTACGAATGTAAAATCATGTCATTATGTACTTTTGTTCCTATCCTATTGTTATCCTATCCATTTTAATGCGGACATTTTTCTGCACCGTTTTCATTCTGTGCAACGAGCGACTAGCATTCTTCAGAATTTCTATTTTTTGCAAGTGAAAGAAAGCAAGTCATATTTAGAACGACATGATGAGAGTGATAAATGGTGACATGATTACAAAATTGTCATTGTTGCGATGAACCATGCCTTAAATTGTACTCTCCTGTGTTAGACACTAGCTTCTTAATTACACTAATGAACTTAATGGCAGGCACACGATCACGACGTTATTAAGATACATATTTTTGGGGGAAGTTTTCCATTATTCTGTCATTTGCATCCAAACAAACATGAAGAAACGCATAATAAACATCAAAATTGTTTATCCCCGCGGAGACAGGTAGGGAGTATTGACTGGAGTGATAGCACAGCTCAAAGCGAGTGTGATTGGTGCTCCTCGCAGCATCAGGAGACCTGTGGCTCATCGCTGGAGTCCAGCGGGAGATTCCTTACAGAGACACAGAGCAGAACGCACGCGCACTTGTGTGGACAAATTAAGGCTTATTACTATACCTGAAGCAAAGAGTTTCAGTTAGATAATTATTCACCAGAAGGAATCACTATGGATTGCTCTGAGGAAGTGCAGTCTCTCTCAGATGAAGCCAGCACTCCCATCGAGATGAAGAAAGGGATGTCAATATATTTGGATGTGAGTAGGCCTATTTTAAAACATTTTTGAAAAGCTTGTCTGATTGTAATAACGAATTATTTATGCTGAACGATCAAAGGAAATTGGAGACGTAAAATAACCTGTTAGATCCACAGTGCTGTATAAGGTTTTGTGTTGAGTGTCCACTTGCAGGCTGACAGATCATCACCATAGCTTTAAAACAGCGCAAGGTGCACGAGTTTTGTTAATTTGGCTTAATATTAATTATTAACATTTATTAGTTTATTTTTAAGTTACATTCTTACGTTCCTAAGTCGCTTGCAGCTGATCTTACATAAAAATATGTATAGAAATGTATGCATATATATATATGTGTGTGTGTGTGTGTGTGTGTGTATGTGTGTGTGTGTGTGTGTGTGTGTGTGTGTGTGTGTGTGTGTGAGAGATAGAGATCTGGACCACAAAACCAGTCATAAGGGTAAATTGAGATCTATACAAAGCTGAATAAATAAGCTTTCCATTGATGTATGGTTTGTTAGGATAGGACAATATTTAGTCGAGATACAACTATTTGAAAATCTGGAATCTGAGGGTGCAAAAAAAAAAGAGAAAATCGCCATTAAAGCTGTGCAAATGAAGTTCTTAGCAATGTATATTACTAATCAAAAATTAAGTTTTGATATATTTACAATAGGAAATTTACAAAATATCTTCATGGAACATGATCTTTACTTAATATCTTAATGATTTTTGGCATAAAATAAAAATGTATCATTTTGACCAATGCAATGCATTTTTTGGCTATTGCTACAAATATACCCGTGCTACTTATGACTGGTTTTGTGGTCCAGGGTCACACACACATATATATATTTAATGATCTCAACTTAGCTGATCTCAGGTCTTAATGTTGAAGTGGTCTGGTGATGTGTGACTTCATAGATATTCATGTTATGCTATCATCATTTAGTCTGTTTGCAGTCATTATGCATAATGTTAATTAGCATTAGTTATTATGCATAGTTTATACACATTTGGTCATTAAATATCTTTTCTGCTCTGTAATGGATGTGGATCTTCTTTTACAACAAAGACACGCTCCAAAGAGCGATTGTAAGTTGGTTTTAGTTGCTAATTAAATTGTAGTGTGCTGTCTAAAGAGCTTCCCCTGAGACATGAGGTGTGTATTGTTAATTATCATGCAGGAATAAGGAAGCGGTCCCTGACAGATTGGTGGCATAGTTTTTCACTCCTCTAAGGAGGAAGCTATATTCAGCATAGTCTTGGCATGCCTTGCAGAGGACCATATTTAGAGTGTGAATATTCTCGCTGTGAATTGGGACTTTATTTAACAGACCACTATAGCGTGCCTGGTTGTTCAAAATCAACATAGCCATCATCACTTTTTCTTCCATCTCTGCTCTTTTTAGGCCACGGCCTAAATAATTTACAGTTCTAGAGTCCCTTTACATGATCAACACAGCATGATTTTTCCATGGCCCCTAGTTATTAACTGATATTGTCCTGTTTGCTTTCAGATATTGAGAAGAGCTGATAAAAATGGTAAGACATTGCCTTTCTGTGCACTTGTTGTTTCCTGCGTAATAAAGGGTTTGTTTTAGTCTCGTACACATTACTCTAACTGTGCATCAATATGCTTGAATGGTTGTTCATTCCCAGTCTATGCTGTTGCTCTGTTGTCATGGAAACCCTAGATGTCCATACGTTTCCTAATGTTAGTCAATATTTTAGTAGAGCGATACAAACAAATGCCACTGTGATCATTCTTAACATCTCCAATCATAGTTCAGTTTTAGCAGCCATGGAGTTTTAAAAATAGCATTGATTGGATTTATTTTGTGAAGTTCAGTTCAGTCACTGTGAATTCAAACTCAATTAGGTTAAAAAACTGTGTTGATATTGCAAAATCAAAATTTGATTTGACTATAAAGCAGCTCTACAGAAGACAATAATGTCATCATCCAGCTCCGTTCATTTGATATCATGGAAGTCAAATTGATTATATTGCTGAATATTAAGTGTCTTTTAAACCCAGACTAAGCAAACAATAGTGAAATATTATTTAACATCACTGAATCAACCTTAATGCATGAATTTATACAAAGAAAACTAATTTTTATTGGTTAAATTAGGTAGAAATATCTCTTTATGGTAACAGTTGCAGGTTTTTCACTGTATAATGTCAGGGACAAGGATTTCTGCAGACCTCTGTCCCTTTTCCTTATATTGTGTTCTTTCTGAGGCTCTTTCACTGCATTTTATTTCATATACAGCAGTACATTTATTCTATTTTGAGTATAGGCTGGCGTGACTCACCTGTCACTGTTTGTTTGAAAACCTCTGGGCGTCTGCGCCAACTAACTCGAGTCCTCAGCCCTGTCGCAAACATTGTCTCGCGGCATCTGTGTGTTCATGTTTTCCCAAACACCTGAGATCTGACGTGCATGAGCTAAATTGGCATCATCTAAAGGATGATGAACTTTGCTTGCTTTCTCTTTTATAGATTGAACATTTTAAGTCTTTTAAAAAATCTGAAATAGTTTTATGAGTTTTTTTGAAGGCAACTTTTTAACCACAATTTCCTCTCAAAAGATGATGGGAAGCTGTCCTTTGATGAGTTCAAGGCTTATTTCTCAGATGGTGTTCTGTCAGGAGATGAATTAAAGGAGCTCTTCCATACAATTGACACTCATAACACAAAGTAAGTATTGCTGCTTTTTTCATTCACATACACATACTAATTACAAGGCACCATTTTGGGCTCCTCAGATCAACACACTGATTGAACCATTTGGACGTCCTATAGTAAACCTTTCAAAAATTGTGGTTTTCTGAACATGACAATACCCATAACCCATAACAAAATGGAACTGTACTGCCACAAGTGTCCAAGTTCAGTACTCCGATACAATCACATATTCAGAATCTCAATGTATTTACTCTCAGGAATATATGTATGCTAGAAACAGTGTTGAAGTCGAAACCAGCTCATTTAAGTCAGAGTCCAGGCAAAAATCTGGAGCTGGTTGCACCAGCTGTGTGAAAGTTACAACATAAAAGTTACAACTTACTCATAAATATGTTTGCTTTGCACCATTACACTTAGTTGAAACATAAATGTGTAGAAATTAGATATTTATAGAAGTCACTGACCAGTGTTGGGGGTAATGCATGACAAGTAATGCGAGTTACGTAATCAGATTATACTTTTTTCAAGTAACTAGTAAAGTAACACATTACTTTTGAATTTACAAGAAAATATCCACGTTTTTCAAATAAATGAGGCCAGTTATACTTTATTTTCCCATTTATTGACTGATAGCTCTCCTGTCCCCATGTTGAGAAAAATCAGGAGTAAGTGCAGAGGCGTTGGGAACTAAATGGGAACATGCATTCACTCATCTACTCAAAAACAGATTCAGTATTCCTTAAAATGAATAAAAACAGTGAAATTCTAACTCAGAATATTATACAAATCTGCAATAATTAATAATAATTATAACACAAATATTAACAATTGTCTTCAATGACCAATTTATCCATACTAATAAGCAAAAATGACTTTAGATAAACATACAATTTGTGTTTATTTATTTATTTGATTGCTGAAGAGTGAACTTTATTCTCTGTCCTATATTGAAAGGTTTATTTGAGCTAAACATTTCCTTCAGCCTGAGGCTTAAACATTTCACTTTTGGTGTGAAAGGGCTTTTACATTTACAAAAAACAGAACTTTTTTATATTAAAAACAAACAAGCAAGCCCAGCCCAGATGAGAAAAGGTAATGCCAAAGTACTTTCCCTAAAAAGTAACTAAGTAACACAATTAGTTACTTTTATTTTGTAATGCATAACTTTCCCCAACACTTGTTAAATTGTATCATTATGCACTTGTTCAAGCTGACAGACTTCAGTCCTTAGACATATGTGATGATGCTGGCATTTACACTTTTAGAAGAGATTATGTGTTTTATGTGAATAAATTACTTGTTAGCGGCTCTTCAACACAAATCCAAAATAAACAGCATGAACATGCCTCTGTGGGCATTGCTCCATTTTATGCTTGCCAATTTAAATCAATCATGGTTTTATCAGTATTTATTTATTGCTCTTAATTCATTTCAAATACAGTTTCTGAATATCAATATGTTAATGTCAATGTTAATATAAAATACCTACTACATTATTCCATTAATTAAGTGTAGTATTTCAATGGAAATGTATTCTAACTGTTAGTTACATGAGGCAAAAGAAGTTAGTATCCTTAGCAGGTATTATTGGATTAGTGAAGGTAAATGTCATATTATGCAACTATGCCATGATTTAGAAAGCGCTTACAGCCAACTAGATACACACTGCTTTGAGAACTTATTAATTAGACAGGCCAAAATCGACCTGTTCTCAGCAGAGCTCCTGAGAAAGGAGCTGTAAAAATATATTGAGATGGTTTTTGGTACTTATACCGCAAATATATATTCTTAAGGACATCAAAACCTAAAATAAAACTCCAGAAAGTGTAAAATATGGGACCTTTAAGTGTCTTAAACCCAGACTAAGCAAACAATAGTGAAATGTATTCTAACTGTTAGTTACATGAGGCAAAAGAAGTTCCCTTTCAGTCAGTCACGTTCTACGTTACGTCAGTCGTGACTGACGAATTGGGATCTCGCCTGAGAGCCCAATCACCTTCGAGTGTTAACTAAACAAGCCAATGACAGTTGGCGTGCGTGTTTCGCCATGCACACCCTGCCCCGCAGCGCGGGTATAAAAGGAGAGCGCGTGAAAACGCAGATCAGCTTTTCGCTGAGGAGCCAAGCCTCTACAGGACGAATCTCCGCGAGTGTTCTAGAGAAACAGCTGGCGTTGGTGTGATGGCATATCAGCGGGGATTGCCATCCAGGCTGCTGAAACCTCGGTGGGCTGCAGCTTCCACTCTGCGGTCTCGCCGCGACCTCCCCTGGGCGCTTCAGCGCTCTCTTTAAAAGAGTGCGTTTCCTTCTAAAAGAGCAATTTCTAAAAGAGCTTCACGAGCGACGAAAGTATATATATATATATATATATATATATATATTAACTATGAATGTCATTTTTAACTGTACATAATACATTGGTATTTTCACTCTTCTCATCTCTCTTTGTGGTGTTCTTGATAAACTGCAGATGTCTTATTTATGCATACACAACTTTTTCAACCACACGCCATGTGACTTGTCTAAACTTTTCCAGTGACATCTATAGTCTGTTCTGTTGATGTATTGTGGTGTGTAGATGTCTTTGTGTTAAACACCAGATACCATATGATAAAAATACCTTTGCGAAAATATGTTTTGTTTTGTTTTTCCCCACTGATGTCTGGAAGCACTACTGTGAAGGGTGTGATCTCAAAACACACTCATTCAAATAACTAATGAATGAGGTGTGTGTGTGGTGGAGGACATAATCTCACAACAAAGGAAACTAGTTTAAAATTCAAGCATGAATGCAATCAATATCTTGTGTTCAATGGAACACGTGAGTGTGAGGGTGTGTGTGTGAGTGTGTGTGTGTGTGTGTGTGTGAGAGTGTGTTTTGAGTACATCTCACCTTGTTGCTGTAAAGTATGAAAGTAGCATGTGAGGTTGTGTTCCCATTCAGTCAGTCACGTTCTACGTTACGTCAGTCGTGACTGACGAATTGGGATCTCGCCTGAGAGCCCAATCACCTTCGAGTGTTAACTAAACAAGCCAATGACAGTTGGCGTGCGTGTTTCGCCATGCACACCCTGCCCCGCAGCGCGGGTATAAAAGGAGAGCGCGTGAAAACGCAGATCAGCTTTTCGCTGAGGAGCCAAGCCTCTACAGGACGAATCTCCGCGAGTGTTCTAGAGAAACAGCTGGCGTTGGTGTGATGGCATATCAGCGGGGATTGCCATCCAGGCTGCTGAAACCTCGGTGGGCTGCAGCTTCCACTCTGCGGTCTCGCCGCGACCTCCCCTGGGCGCTTCAGCGCTCTCTTTAAAAGAGTGCGAAGAGCTATTTCTAAAAGAGCTTCACGAGCGACGGGCGTCTTTTTAAAGATGGCTTCCCGCTCGTGCGTTTCTGGATGTGGTCGTTTCCTGCCTCCATCTGATGGTCATGATCGCTGCCTCTCGTGCCTGGGCTTACAGCACGCTGAAGCAGCGCTCATGGAGGAGTCTTGTTCTCAGTGCGGGACTCATTAAACGGGGGGGTATCCCCCTTGCCATGCCCCGCTCTAGCTCCTCTGGTTCTCGGAGGGCTACTTCGGTTCATGGTCAGGGAGACCTGAGGGTTACGGTGAGAGCTTCCCCGTCGAGTACGTCTCCGCGGGCCTCTCATTCCTCGAGCATGTCGCACCACCTGCTGCTTCCGGACGAGTGTGCTGGGTCCTCGGACAGGGCGGGGTCCAGCATCTTGTGCGGGACACAGGCAGAGGACAGGATGTCGATCGCTGCATCGGAGGGCAAGCTAAGCTCTGGAGATGAGGATTCGGCTGCGCTGCCACCGTCAGGTAGAGTGGCGTTGCCCGAGTCAGATCCAGAGCTGACCGCTATGCTTTCCCGGGCCGCTGAGAGCGTCGGGCTGCACTGGAGGCCTCCGCCTTCTCCCGAACGCTCGAGGCTGGATGATTGGTTCCTGGGGGCGCAGGCCGGGAGTCGGCAGCCGCCTCCGGTTCCATTCTTCCCGGAAGTGCATGAGGAGGTTACAAAGTCTTGGAAGGCACCTTTTTCTGCCCGAAACAGACTTGGTGCCCCCTCCGTCCTCACCACCCTCGACGGGGGGGCGGCCCAAGGGTATGAGGACATCCCTCCGGTCGAGCGCGCGATTGCCATGCAGCTCTGCCCGCAAAGCGCCGCCGCCTGGAGAGGTAGTCCACGCCTTCCGTCCAGGGCCTGTAAGTTCTCGTCCGCTCTGACGGCTAAGGCTTACAGTGCCGCTGGACAGGCCGCTTCCGCCCTGCACGCCATGGCCCTCCTGCAAGTCCACCAGGCCAAGGCGTTGAAGCAGTTGCACGAGGGTGGTGCTGACTCAGGTGTGCTGCAGGAACTGCGCACCGCGACGGACCTCGCGCTTAGGGCGACGAAAGTCACGGCGCAGGCCCTGGGTCAGACGATGTCCACATTGGTGGTCCAGGAGCGCCACCTATGGCTGACCTTGGCGGATATGAGGGAGCCCGACAAGCATCGCTTCCTGGACTCCCCGATCTCCCAGGCCGGCCTATTCGGCGAAGCGGTGGAGGGCTTTGCCCAACAGTTCTCCACCGCACAGAAGCAGACGGAGGCGTTCCGACACATCCTGCCCCGGCGGTCTGCTGCTGTCCGCCCCCCACCGCCGGCTGCAGCCCCTCTGTCTGCTCGTCGCCGAGGGCGCCCTCCTGCGGCCTCCACCTCCGCTCCGGCGCGGCCACAACAGCAGCAACGGCCGCAGCGTGGAGCTGGCCGCAGCGAGTGTTTGGAAGAAACAGCTGGCGTTGGTGTTACGGCGCGTCAGCGGGGGTTGCCATTCAGTGCTGCTCATCTTCGGCGTGCTGCAGCTGCCATTCTGCGGTCTCGCCGCGACCTCCCCTGGGCGCTTCAGCGCTCTCTCTAAAAGAGTGTTTCCTTTTTTTCCTAAAAGAAGCAATTTCTAAAAGAGCTTCACGAGCGACGGGCGTCTTTTTAAAGATGGCTTCCCGCTCGTGCGTTTCTGGATGTGGTCGTTTCCTG